AGTAATGGCAAGCGCACTTAACTCCTCAGGTTCTTCTACAAACTTTGCATTGTGAGTTTCCATTATTCGAGATGGACCATGATGACAGTAAAATTTAAACCCCTTTGACTTTTCTGAATAACCAATAAACCTGCAACTCATTGTTCGTGGATCAAGCTTTTTCCAGTCCAGGCTTCAAAAGGCACTACTGTGAAAGTGATTAAAACTTGGTCTTCTTCCAGTCCAGGCTTCAAAAGGCACTACTGTCACTGACTTGCTTGGAATTATGTTGATGATGTAGTTGGCAGTTTTCAAAGCTTTCCCCCATAGGAATATAGGTAGCTTTGCCTGTGCAAACATTGACCGAATCATGTCTTTTGAAGTCCTGTTCCTCCTTTCTGCCACCCGTTTTGTTGTGGAGTCCCTGGAGTGGTGTATTGAGCAACTATGCCATTGTCTTGAAGGTATGTAGCAAAATGGCCTTTGTGCTGTCCAGCTTCAGTATACCTGCCAAAATACTCACCACCTCTATTAGATCTTACTATTTTAATATGTTTTTCCAATTGTTTTTCAACCTCTAACCTAAAAATCTTAAAACAATCTAAAGCTTCAGATTTTTCAGAAATTAAGTAAACAAAGGCAAAATGTGAAAAGTCATCAATGAAAGTGATGAAATAGGACTTTCCACATATGGTTTTGTTTGGGAAAGGTCCACAAATGTCAGTATGAATGATTTCAAGTAGATGTTGACTGCAAGTTGAACCCAATTTTCTTGTGTTGGTGAGTTTTCCTTTAAACAATCTGTGCATGTTTGAAAATCATTAAAATCCAATTGAGGTAACAAGTTTTGTTTGCATAAGGTGATAATTCTTTCTTTCGAAATGTGCCCTAACCTCTTGTGCCAAAGCATAGAGGATTTTTCTAAAGTGAGCAACCTTTTAGAACCAATACCTTGAACGTGAAAACATTCATGGACATATGAACATTCCATTTGCCACATATCAGTTTGTAAATAAGCGATACCAAGCAAGGAATTCATATTATTTGATTCGAAAAACCTTTATCATCCCCAACAAAAGAAATGCCTAACTGAACTAATTTGGATGCAGAAATTAAACTTCTTCTCATTGAAGGTACATAAAGCACTAGATTCAACTCTAAAATAAAACCTGATGACATGACTAATTTAACACTGCCAATAGGCTCGACAACAACTTTACTCCCATTCCCAACATAGACATTGTAGACTTCATTGTTTACTTCCTTTGTTTTCGAGAAGCCTTCCAAGGAGTTAGTTATGTCAATGGAACATCCAGTATCAAACCACCAACTTTTAGGAGGAATATAAATCAAATTGGACTTAACACAGACAAAAACATTTGTTATTTTCCCTTTCTTTGTAAGCCAGTTTTTGAAACCAATGCAGTTCTTTCTCAAATAACCTGATTCTTTGCAAAAATAGCACTCATTTGTCTTTTCTATTTCAGTGTTCATGGGTTTAAATTTGAAAGAGCCTTTAGAGGTGTTAGCATTTTTAAAAGAATAAGAAATTATATTCTTCTTCTTCTTACCAACAGAAAACGATGAACCAGCACTGAGGAGTTTGGATCCTTTCTCCATTTGCACCAGATTTACTTCACCAGTCTTGTCAGTTTTAAGTCGATCCTCCTCTTGAACACACATTGAAATCAACTCATTTATCCCCCACTTGTCTTTTTGCGTATTGTACGACACCTTAAGCTGACCATACTTAGCAGGTAATGAGTTTAGAGCCATATGTACCAAAAATTGATCAGTCACAGGTACCTCTAAGTCTTTCAGCTTCAAGGAAAGATCAACCATTCTAAGAATGTGTTCTCTCACACTCCCAGTGCCATCAAATTTCATAGAGGTAAGCTGTGTGAGAAGTGTACCTGTCTCAGCCTTTTCTGATTCCATAAACTTTTCTCCAACAGTAGCTAGAAACGCCTTGGCATTGTCAAGTTTTGGAATCCCTCATTTGACAGGTTGTGTCATGGTTTTCTTCATAATCATCAGTGACATTCTATTAGGCCTCTCCCACTTGTCAAAGTTCAGTTTCTCCTCAGTTGTGCTTTTATCAGTCAAGGTTGCAGGTTTGTCTTCTCTTAACGCTAGGTCGAGATCCATCAGTCCCAAAACTATCTCAACATCCTCCTTCCACTTCTTGAAGTTGGAACCAATAAGAGTTTCAATGTTGCTGAAGTTAAGAGAGGTCATATGCGGAGCTGTTGATGGACATAAACGAAAAATTCTTTGTATTAGAAATCTCACTCAGCATCTTAACATTTAGCGAGAAAATTTTTACTTACTATTTTCTCATTTCAACAATAAGCATAAGAACACAGCAACATCTTTGGACAGATGTTGTTCATATTAATTTTGTATAGTTGGAAGATAAGATACAAGGTCAATTTACATGTTTTTCAACACTTTTGAGCAGATGAATAATGTAATCTTGTCAATCTCACAGTTCCAGTATACATTGAATCATCTAATTGATTTGAATAATAAACACTTTTGAGCAAATTATTATTCAATCATTCTTAAATGAGTCACTATCTCCATATATTTGATTCACAAGTCAAAACAATAAACTAAACACTTTTGAGCAGAATAGGTATTGTTTTCTTGTTTTAGTTGTTCACATGTTATCATTTTGATAACATGAACCCTATAATCTTGCACTTTTTCTTTAGTTTCTTCGAGTAGTCATATTTGTCATTGTTAGAGAATCTTTTCCTGGTAAAACTTGAACAAACACATCATTCTGATATAAAATGTATATATAGATATATATATATATATATACACACACACATGTATATAACCAAGTTTTAATGAATGTATGCATGCATCGACATTGATAAGAAATTTGAAACTTTTATCGGATATGACGAAAAGTTTGCAGCGGAACGATCAAGACCTTAAAGTTAATATTCAATAGAGTAAGTTCTAGTATGAACCCTAGCCATGTTGAGTGGCTCTGATACCACATGTAAGTAGTTCTGTAAGACTCATAAACCAAAATTACAACAACAGGGTACTAGGGTTACAATACAACTAACTCACACAGAATATAAAGTAGTGTGTATCAGAATTTAATAGCAAGAACACCTACCTGTGTTCGATGCCATGTCTGAGCTGCAAGTCGGTCTTCTACTCCCACTACTCAATAGCTCCCTTATTGTCAGAATAGGTCTCAGTAATTTCTTAGGGTTTTTCACGTATGGGAGCAGGGACTACAACTTCATATATTTATATATACATGTCAATTAGGGTTACGCCACCGGCCTATCAATGGTCGCATACACTTATCATCTAAATGATGAAAGAGTCCTATCATGATTCAATATCTTTGCATTAAACCCTTATCAGGATTTGATCAAGTTAGCTGCATGAATATAAGACTCCATAATCCTTATGAGTTGGAGATCAACTATATCACTTTTATAACAAATAACCCGTAAAACAAGTTACTTGTCATTCAAGTAATATCAAACACTCATTGTCATTCACTAGAACTTTTACACTGAATGGCTAAGTTTAGGAGGCTTTCAGTTTACAAGGTTGATCAAGTAGAGAGAGAGAGCGCATTCAAGTGGCAGAAACCAATGTTTGGTATCATTCTCTGCAGCAAATAGATAGATGCTTCATGCAAATGATGATGTTATCGATCCAGAAAAATCCCGTTTCGAAAACAAATCAAAGTTCTACTTATTAATATGCAGTGGGTCTGGAGTAATTATTGTGTTTCGTTTAGACGAGCTGTTTAAGTTCCTTTATTATAATGACTTAGCTGCAGGTAGTACTGAGTCACTGACCAAGGTTCTTAATTTTCTTTAATCCCTAGTCTTTTTGTAATGTACTTGTTGTTTTACCAAACAAATTATGCTAACCTTACAAATTAAATAATACTAAGTAACAACCTTCATGTCAGAAATGCAGATTAAACTGGCATTTGATGAAGACATCTAGCCTTTGATATAAAAATATCATTGTACTAAAAAAGAAAAGAAAATAATAAAAAAATTAAGAGAGTAAGGAGTGGGTTAAGCATTGCAATGACTTTTGTACGCTTTTGTCAAATTGCTTGATATGTTTGTTTATTTCCCAATGTAGAGTCAAACTTATCTTTGAAAGTTGCTCTGCTTGATTAAAATCTTAAAGAATATGCTTATTTTTAGTTATGCTCCTTGCTACTCAATTTCAATCTCATTTTATTTTCTGTAACTCAAAATTCATCACTTTACTCCTTGTAACTCAAAGTTCACTCCACTTTGCCTTATGGAATTCAATCTTGATCCTATTTTGCCGCTACACATTGCCATAGATACATTAATTTTTTATGTGGGTTTGTTTTGGGTGTGCCATGCTATTCAATTTTTTTTTATTTTTTTTTTCATCTCTTCAATTTCTTTTAAACTTAATATTCTCTGATTAAGTGATTGTTGAATGTTAACACATAATGGAGATTTATAATCAAACTTATTACACATGACATAGCCTTATTAGGTGTTGGGTCTCACATATGTTTCAGAAGGCGGATTATAAGTTTCAAGAAGAAGAGAGAGTTCAAAAGTCAAAGCGGAATGAATTTTGAGTTATAGAAATAAAGTGGTAATTTTTGGATCACATAGAGCAAAATAAGATCAAAATAAAGTTTCATATGGCATAGATAAAAATAAGCCAAAAAAATATTGAGGAATCAATTGACTTAATTTACAATCCCAAAATGCTTCTTGGTCTTTCCTCTTCTTTTGGGGTCGAGCTAGCTCTGGCTGTGTTTTACAATTTTAAATTCAAGCATTTATAATTCATGTTACAAATTTACAATGCAGCAAAAACATATTTGAAACGAATTGACAACAGAATTAGACACAACAAAATTGTACCCGTCAGAATGAAAATGATGAAACATATACAAAACTATCGACTTTTCTACGACTTCTGAGTTTATTGGATATGCACCCAATTTTAACCGCTAAACTATTAGTTAAAAATACAAAAATTAAAATTTAACTGTTAAAAAAATTGGAGTATCATATACTCTGCAGCATCATAACAAAGAATAACTTGCATGTCATTACATAACATCGATGTCGATCATAAATTCGGCCAATCAAAAAGTGAAAATAAAAAATTTGAAATCCTTTGGATTCTCGCAGAATATGGGATTGGGTTTATCGACTATTTCATCGTATGAAATAGAAGAAGTCTAGGTTTTAAAAACCATCAATAAAACACTTGCAGTTGACTTAATTACTTAAACCATCTTTGACAAAACATATATCTAACATCAAGCACTCTCTGTATGTAAGGTTTAGAGCGTTCTACGATTAATGTCATTCCATATTTCAGCCGAGGACAGGGGCGGACGTCGTTGCGGCCTTCTAAAGAAACGACGAACGGTAGAGACTGCCACCTCTTCGGGATTGTTACAATTGTGCAAGTCCCAATATGTTTTGCATCTGGAGACTACGGTTTCCAAGTCCTTGGCCAGGAGCACAAATGCTTCCACTTTTGTCTGACTTTTGACATGTTTGCTGGAGACTGGAAGTTCGTTGAAACAGTCTGATGCCCAGTCGAGAAGCTCCTCCCCATAAATGTAACCTTTCCCGACGCGCTTGATGGCCATTGATGAGACTCCTTGCCCAACTTGATTATCACTCGACCCGTAGGTCCACACTGTTCCTTGGATAATGAACATCATGCAATCGAGTGGATCTCCCATTCGAAAAACGAAGCTGGTCTCACCGTACGTCACTGGCTTCAGACAGTCGCACATCAACGTCAACACTTTTTCATTCATGCCTTTAAGCCTGTTTACCTACACACATGCGCGCGCATGGACATACATATATCATCAGAACAACATTGCAGTGAAAATGGATGCAATTAATAGATGGAGAGAGATGGATCAGAGTTTTGAAGAACATACTTTTTTAAGTGTACCCATGAAAAGATGGCGTTTAACAGATCTTTTGGTTTGCCAGGGAAGAATAAGGAATGGCTTGTGCACATCAGCATCTTTGTCTTGTTTCAATATTTTCGCCATGCTATCCATGATCTCTTCCTTGACATCATCAGGGAATTTATTTTCAGATATCCACCTGCGTACATCTAGCATCTTCATCGAAATCTTCTGTTTCGTCTCCTCGTCTTCCTCTGCTTTTTGTCTCCTCTCCTCTGTTTTTGTAGCTTCCATCTGCATAAAAGTCTATCACGCCACAAATCAAACAATTACTTAATATACTGGAAGAATGATCTCCGCGGTCCCAACTCCTAAACAGGGGAAAATTGGTGAAGGTTAAAGTACAACGAGATTCAATATACCAACCTGCACGTTTCCAATGAGATATAAAAACAGCAGCAAGCCAACAACAGAAATGAGAATCGCAAACAAGTTTTCCCACACGTACGTACTTGTTATCAGATTTGTCCCAAAATTACTGCAAAATAATAGACAATGTTGCCGAATTAGATAACCCCAAAATTTTTATTCGTTACATATTTTTTTTAAAATTGTTAATTGTCAATGGATATACTGTACCTTAGATTTCGCAAGCCCCACCAGAAGGAGTAAAAGAACTTCTTTTCGAACTTTATATGGTCTAAGTTACGATTCTTAAGAGAATCAAGAAATATTCCAAAATTAAATGGTGGTAAGACACCATCTGGAGTATCTAACGGGCAATGCTCGTTTAGAAGTGTTATATTTCTCGAAGTAGTAGTTTGACGCCCACAGTAAAAAGTATTCATACATCCGATAGGATCTGGACTATGTTTTGCACAAGCATTATACCAGCATAATGTCTCTTGTTGAATAGAAAAGAAATACCAAAAACCTCCAAGTATCTACAGAAGTAACAAATTCATAAGCAAATGATTTATCAACTAAGAAGTATGTAATGTTTAAGGAAAAATTGTGTAGGGCAATGCTACGAGTTTCTATGTGAACCAAATCGAACAAACAAAAGGTTATGTTGTAATAATTGAAGACGAAAGTAAGTTTGAGCGTACATATATTCCGAAACGTGCATACAAAATCGAACGTTAGTCAAATGTTTCTAAAAGAAAGCTTCATCGTGCATTAGTGAATACATAATATGAATCTTCAAGAAAGATGACTTCTCTAGATTTTTTCTGAAGAAAAAAAAAGCCTAATTGTTGCAGTCATATTTAGAATAGGAATGTGATTGTGTAAATCCTAGTAAATCTAGTATTCCTATTAGGAGTTGATTACTTATTAAGAGTTGTAATTCTAATAGGATAAGGTTTTGACCTATCCTACAACCATAAATAAAGGCACAATGGGATGATACAACACACACATCAAAATTAAATCTCTCTTCTCTCTCTTGCTAACATCGGCCCCCTCTCTCTCTACCTCTTAGTATAGTTCAGTTAAATAGGCCTACAACACGTTATTAGCACGCTCTAGCCAAAAGCTAAGGAACAGACGGATCGTAGGAGGAGGTTATCTTCCACAAAATTCAAAGGCTCTTATTAGTTTTCTGCAAATTAGGTACGCTTAAAATAAAGGAAGATATTTGAAACATTCACGATGCATGAAAACATTCCCTATGAAGCATAAACCGCTCTATGTTTATATTTTCCTTCCGATATATATTTTATATGTTTCATATTTTTTCAATATATATATATGTTTCATGCATTACGCAATTAAATTGATGTGTGGAATTGTGAGTCAAATCATATAAATAAATTAGAAGCAATTTAGGGGTTTTCAAACCCTAGGGATGTTGAAAAAGAAAAAAAAAATTGGGAACTTGCGGCACAGCCGCCGCACCACCACCGTGGCTTCGCCGAGCCACCACCGCTAGCCTGAAGCTCAGCCGTGTGGAGCATGACATGGCATGGTGTCGTTTGACACCTTGGACCTCACAGCAGCAGCCCTTTGGGCTTTGCTACACTGACCCGGACCCTAGGCCTCTCGGCCAACTTAAGTTTCTAGGGCCTGCAATCCCTAAGCCCAAAACCTGCAGATTTTTGGTCCATTGTCCTGAGTCCCTAGGCCCATGCACTTATTGGGTTTTGTCCCAGTCTCGGTCCACCTGCCAGCAACCCTGGCAGTTGGGCTTCGCTTACCCCTGACCCAAAACATGAAACCCAGCTTCAGCTAAGCTTCCTAGATCCAAACCTTAGGCTAGCTCTTGCTGGGACTACACCCGTGGGTTGTGTTCATGCAGCGAACCAAAGCCTAAATTTTTGGGCTATGTTTTTCAACCTAAAAGCCACCAGCCTTGGCTGCTGGGATCCTCAAACCTTTTCAGCCCGAGGCCTGCAGCCCTCACCGAAGCCCAATAAGCCTGCAGCCGAACTTGCAAGGCCTGTTTCCCAAATTATTTTGCTTCCATGATCAACCCTGTTTGGTCTCGATTTATTGAATTAGTTAAAAGTGACATGCAGTCCATTAATCTGATAATGAATCCAAAATTATTGACCTAAAGATCATTTTTGGACATTAACGATTCAATAATTTATTTTTATACTTTGAACCGTTGACATACTTTCGTAGTAACGAAGCTCTCACACTTGAGTTCCTGAAGAAACACAAATCCACTATTCTTAAATCAACATATTGCATTATGTGTTTCTTGTAGAAACCTCTCATTCATGAACTAATCGTTCATAAAAACTAAATTGAACTTGTACATATTTAGTACCTTTGAAACCCAAAGTTTGCATTCAAAACTTACCACATGAAACCTGTAGCTTTCATGCATAAATTAAACGAATACATGTCTATAAAATTCCGAATGTTCTACGATATATGTCTATGGATCACCATATGACTAATCACGTTTTTTTGTACCCTCAGTTTTAGGGACATGTCGAACTTGAACAAGCTCGATTTCATCGTTTTGGAAGTATCTGGAAGAAACTATCTGAGATAGGTTCAAGACGTGAAGCTCCATCTGACTGCAAAGAGTTTTCGAGCCGCCATCGAGGAACTAACTGACGATGAACCCGTTGACGAAGTTGAAAAAGCTACTGCAATGATCTTTATTCGAAGACACATCCATAATGCACTGCAAACCAAGTACCTCACTGAGGAGGACCCACGCACCCTCTGGCTTGCTCTGGCCGACCGTTTCGATCACCAGAAAAACATCTACTTGCCTGAAACAAGACGTGACTGGCAACATCTTCGCTTCCAAGACTTTAAGTCCTTGAATGAATACAACTCTGAAGTTTGTAGAATTCGATCACTTCTTAAGTTCTGTAAAGTGGAACTAACCGTATCAGATCTCTTCGAGAATACGTAATCGACCTACCATACCAACAATATTGTCCTGCAGCAATAATATAGGGCACAAAAATTCACCAAAGTTTGGGATTTGATCTTTGTACTACTTCTTATTGAAAAGCAGAACCAGCTTTTGATGAAAAATCATTAAGCCCGACCAACTGGCTTGAACGATGCGCCTGAAGCGTATGCGACAAATTATAGCAGCCACAAACGACGAAAGAATCGTCGTGGCCATAGTAATGGGCGGCAAGCCCAACCACAGGCCCAAGGTCCATAGAGCGCTGACCCCAAGGGAGGAAATTCGACCTAACAGCGTCCACTTCTTGCCCCTAAGGCCCCAATTCAATCAAATTCTTTCTAGGTATGTCTAGTGGGAAAGTTAGTTGTCTGGCTGATAGTGCTACCATGCAAACAATTTTGCGTGAATGACACTATTTTACTAACTTAATACCTAAGAATGCTTATCTGACAACTCTCTCAAGCCCATCCAACCTGATTGAAGGATACGGAAAGGCCTGTATCATGTTGTCCAATGGTACAATCTTAACCATTAAGGCGACACTTTATTCTCCATGTTCCGGAAGAACGTTGCTGAGCTTTAGAGATAGTCGAGATAATCAATATCATATTGAAACCACTGAAGATAATGATTATGAATTTCTTTGTATCACTTCGTACGAATATGGCCAGAAGTGTATTCATCAAGCACATCATGTGGCCGGCCTTATACCCAAGTTCCATAACACTTTGTTACTTTGGCGTGATCGTTTGGGACATCCTAAACTTGACATGATGCGCTGTATCCTCAAATCATCACATGGGCATCAGTTACCTCCATATGTTGGATTTTCACCATGCAATGCGTGTTCTTTAGGGAAGTTGAATACTCAACCCTTACATACAAAGATCATTCATGACCCCCCTAAGTTTCACATACAAAGATCATTCACGACCGCCCTAAGTTTCTCAGAGGATTCAAGGGGATATTTGTGGACCTATCCAACCAACCTGCGTGGGGCTATGCAATATTGCACTCAACTATGCTGGTCCGCCTAAGGCCCACCATTACCCAACCACATTCACCGTTATAGTTGGTCACTGGACACGAGCCTGACGTCTCGCATTTACAGGTGTTTGGGTGTGCCGTTTATGTGCCAATAGCGCCGCCACTATGTACCAAAATGGGTTCTCAGAGAAAAATGGGAATCTATGTCGGTTATGATTCTCCATCAATTGTTCGTTATTTAGAACCCTTGACAGAAGATTTCTTTACCGCATGTTTTGCGGATTGTCATTAGGGGGAGATAAGCATACTAATGTTCCTGAAGAACACCACGAATTATAGATATTCAGAGCATTGCTCAAAGCATGCCAGATGCTTTTACCGATCTAGCAAAGGTGACAAGATCACATACTCACTGCAAACGTACCTACAAGGATATACGTTTTCAGTGTACGTCACCATCCTATCTGGGAAGGCCAGACCATCCCCGAAGGTGTGGAGGCCGTACCTTCCATGCTGCATGGTACATTGGCGACTAGCTAATCATCTGCTCCGACCCTGAAGCTTGGCAGACCCCTTGGTTCAAAGGATTCACAACCCCGAAAGAGGAAATCAGCACCAACTAGTGACCCTAGTTTGAATCTGACCATCGTTCACTCATCTGTTCCTCCCGAGAATCGTGAGATTTCGGTCCACTACGCAATATTGGATGAGGTTTAGAATAAGAATGAGATGATCATTGACGATGCATTTGTGTACTCAGTAGCTACTGACAGAATGCTTAGTGATGACATTGAACCATGTTCCGTTGATGAATGTTGATGTAGAACAGATTGGTCAAACTGGAAACAAGCAATCCAGGTCGAACTCGATTCGCTTACAAAACATAAAGTGTTTGGGTTTGTAAATCCTACTCCTCCAAGGCTTCTCTCAGTGCCTTGGGATTGATTACGAATAGACGTATTCCCCCATAATAGACGTCATAATGTTCCGCTACCTTATCAGTTTGGTAGTTTCTGAAAAACTGAATATGCAGCTTATGGACGTGGTAACCGCGCATCTCTATTGGGATCCAGATACATAAATATACATGAAAGTTCCAAAATGACTTCCATTGACTGGTTCAAATAGTTATAGACCACAGAACACTCTCTTTATTAGATTGAAGAGGTCACTCTACGGATTGAAACAATCTGGGCGGATGTGGTATAATCATCTGAGTGAATATTTGACAATTCAGGGTTATGTAAACAACGAATTATGCCCATGTGTGTTCATAAAGAAGTCACATTCCGAATTTGCAATCGTTGCAGTTATGTCGACGACATGAACCTTATCGAAACTCCCGGAGAGCTTGAGGAAATTGTGGCACACTTGAAATCAAAATTTGAGATGAAAGATCTTGGGAAAACTCGATATTATCTCGGCCTAGAGATTGAGCATTGTTCGGATGAAATCCTAGTGTATCAATCGAACTACACCCAGAAGGTGTTGCGACGTTTTAATGAGGATAAAGCGAAGCCTTTGAGTACATTTATGGTCGTTTAGACTCTAGATGCTAAACGAGATCTCTTCCATCCAAATGATAATGATGAAGAGATTTTGGAACCCGAAGTTCCATACCTAAGTGCAATTGGGGCTTTATTGTACTTAGCTCAATGCACTAGACCCGATATCTCCTTCGCTGTTAATCTTTTGGCAAGATACAACAATGCATCCACACGCAGGCACTAGAATGGTGTTAAAGATATTTTTCGTTACGTCAAGGGTACAACGGATTTGAGCTTGTTCTATACCCGCAAATCTTCGAGTGTTGTCACTCATATCGGTTCTTGGATTGATTTTTGCCTTGTTGGTTACGCAGATGCTGGATATCTATCTGACCCACATAGGGCACGTTCCCAAACAGGTTATGTCTTTACCGTTAGAGACACCGCTATATTTTGAAGGTCTACCAAGCAAACGCTAGTTGCGACTTCTTCGAACCATGTTGAGATTCCCGCCTTGCATGAAGCATTGTGTGAGCTCTTTTGTTTGAGAGCAGTCATGGAACATATTTGAAGTACTAGTGGTCTTACTTCCGTCGTTGACCTTCCTACGATGATCTTTAAAGACAATGATGCATGTATCGAGCAGTTAAATAAGGGACACATCAAGGGAGACAACACCAAGCACATAGCATCGAAATTCTTCTATTCTCATCAACAACAACATCATCAGAACATTAAAGTCAAGCACATCCGTTCACAGGACAACTTGGCCGATCTCTTCACCAAGTTATTGCCCAAGTCTACTTTTCAGAAGCTCGTCTAAAGAATCGGTATGCGTAGATTATCTAAGTTGAATCGCTTATAGTTCTCTTATTTAGAAGTTATATCTAACTCAGGGGGAGTATCTAGAAGCATACTCACTTGATCTTAATGTATTTTTTTCCTACGATTAAGAGCATTTTTTCCACTGGGTTTTTGCTACCTAACTCGGTTTTAATGAGGCACCCATCCTAGGATGATCATTCTTCGTTGAGTTCACTACTTTCATCCTGTTTGACTTTTGTTTTAGACATTATGCATACTTCTCACTTTTCTCCTTAGTCTATGGGTTTTTCTCCCATCTTGGGTTTTACCATAACGAGGTTTTGTGAGTTTTACTACTAATGCATACTTTCTTAAATTTAGGACTCGCGTTCACCCGTTGTGCCGCCGACTTCATCAACTATTCTACCTTATCTGCTAAAGATCTGATGCACTGGTTTGTTGAGTATTTACACACTCAAGGGGGAGTGTTGCAGTCATATTTAGAATATAAATGTGATTATGTAAATCCTAGTAAATCTAGGAGTATCTTTAGTATTCCTATTAGGAGTTGATTATTTAATAAGAGTTGTAATCCTAATATGGTAAGGTTTTGACCTATCACACTACTATAAATAAATGCACAATGGGGTGATACAACACACACCTCACACCTCACAATTAAATCTCTCATCTCTCTCTTGCTACAGCCGGCCCCCTCTCTCTCTACCCCTTAGTATAGTTCAGTTAAATAGGCCTACAACACTAATAACTTTGTTTAATAGAAATGACTTGAATTCTAGAGCTTTAATGAAAAATATTTTTCTAAACTTTTTCTTAATGAAAAATAATTTAATAACGTTTTTTTTAAATACTTTAAAGAAACGAAAAAAATCTAAAAATGCTAACGCATGAGTCTCTCGCGTCCCCTTCTCTCTCTCTTTCTCTCTCTTCACCTATCACCATCATTTCTCGATCTCATCCTTCATCTATCATTATCAGCGCTCTCTTTTATCACTCATCACCATCACCATCACCATCACCATCATCATCATCATCATCATCTCTCTCATATTTCACCTATCACCAACATGTCTCTATCTTTTCTTTATCATGGCACTTCTTCGGTTCTTCCTCCCCTCCTCTCCGTTTTCTTTTATTTTTTTAATTTTATGTTATGCATAAAGTTTAAAAAAACTAGTCATTTTTCGAAGACATAATAATATGAATTATTTATCACATGCTAAAATTATTATCAACATATTTTTAATAAACACACTTAGTAAAGTTATTAATAAGAAATATTGTTTTTTTTAAATAATAAATTTCTAAAAATAATGGTGACAATTAGTGGTTACTATTTCTAGATAGTGATTATTATTTCTAGAAACAGTTATTACAATTTCTAGATAATGGTCACTATTTCTAGAAATGGTGTCTCTATTTCTAAAAACAGTGGTTAACATTTCTAGACAACAATGCCGAGTTTGAGGGGAGCAAACTGTGTGGTCGCACATGGCCCCTTGCATTAAAGGGGCCCCCAAATTATATGTCTTGCATTGATCAATGGAAGAGGATCCCCTCCGGATTCTCTTTATGGAGATCCTGGGGATCCTCGAATCCAGTGCGTTCATCGTTCATTGTGTAATCAGAAATCATTTTAAATAATTGTATTTAAAATTAAACATGAACGATGGACGCACTACATTCGAGGATCCCCGGGATCTCCATAAAGATGATTCGGAGGGGATCCTCTTCCTTGATCAATAACCAATATACTAATATTTTAAGAGAGCAGATTAGGAATAAGATATTTGGTTTGTCATTTATGAGTGTTGCAAAATCAAAGAAAATAAATTCATATACTATAAATAGTTATATCGATTATTATATTTGGTTTATATCATTTATGATTTTTTTTATCAATTTAATAATATTTTACTGGCCCTTACAACCACAATTTAACTGATGATTTTACCAAAAAAAATTACGAAAAATCATTTTTATGTGAAACTTCAATGTACTTTTTGAAGGTTTTGTTCATTTAATTTCTTAATATTGAACTGATTGCTTATTTAGTGATGGTTATTTTTGTAGCTATCTTTACGTATTATGTAATGATATTTGGAAACTGATAATTAACATAAGTTTTAAAGTTTGTTTCACTTTAGTTATTGCTTTCTAGCATATTGTGAAAAAAAAAAATGGGAGGACTATCTTGAAGACCCCCTTTATAAATTTGACAGTATTTTTAAAAGTAGTGACACTATTTTTAGAAATCTTAAATTATAAACCCCATATCCTAAACAGTGATACTATTTTTGAAAACAGTGTCACTATTTTAGAAACAGTAGTTATCATTATTAAACAGTGACACTATTTCTATATAAATAATTTACAAAATTGAATTTTTTTTTAAAAAAAAATTAACAAACAGAAGAAGCATTCCATATTCTTAAATCTGAATTGGCTGTGGATCCTAAAAAGAATCCTCATTTTGTTTCGGATGTGGGCTATCATTAATAAAAAATTTGAGACCGAAGCGAATGGGTCGTTTTGAAAAGAAGGAAAATGGACGAGAGATGCTGAGCTTATAAAATTAAAGGGAGTCAACCCAATATACTAATATCAATCTTTTTTCAATGATGTCTTTTAACTAATAGAGAAATGTTGTCACTTAATATTACAGTCTAATGATATTCTTTTTCACATGTAAATGAGAGGTTTTAAGTTCGATTCTAGCCAAAGACGAGTTTGAACCACAGTATTGCTAGTCAATTGTGAGGCTAAGCTCATCCCTTCCCCTTAGTGTAGATAATATCGTTTGTTCAAGAAAAAGAAATAGAGAAATGTTAAGCAGACTCTCTCAAAAGTGGGACTCTCTATGGACTTTTTGACACCTCATGTTTTTGGCACAATATTTATAATGTTGGTACGAAAATTAACGTTAAACTATGAGATGACAGAGTTCATGGAGAGTCTCACTTTGCGATAGTCTCCTTAGCATTTCTCTAATGCTTTCATTGGTTTATTTGTCTTTTAACTAACAATTTTTTTTTAATATTGTATTAAACTTTTGTCATTTTCATTAAAGTTCAAGTCTTTTTCATTAAATGAAGTTATTATGAAGTTTTTGAATAAAATTCAAAATTTTGAAGCTTTTTATTAGTTTTTCTTACATAACATTATAATGAAATGACAATCGAAGCGAAACTTACATGACTGGCAAGCATGTAGAGAAAAAAATTGAATAGGCCTTTAATCCAAATTCCAGCAGTCTCTTGAAGTTTCTTGGACGATTGGTGAACTCGATATACCCTTGGTAGATATTGACCCAGAATAAAGACATTCAGAACCTTTCTATGTTCTACATATTCAGCGCCTCTCATATTGTAAAATGTAACTATTATTAGTAGCTTTAGAAAAGAAATAAAAAAGGGTTAGAAATCCACTAATTACAGCTAGCTGGTTAAGAATAGCTGCACAAAAACAAATAGAGTTTAGTTTCTCTTACTTGTGGGACAGGAAGAAGAGAGAGAAAATCATTTATGATGGAGAAAGAAAACCACGACATCTTCTGGGCTATTTTCTTGCCAACTTTAGTCAACGCTCTTCCTTTTGATTTCCTGTATAAATTTCCTTCAATTTGCTTGGTACTTGAGGCCACAGTTCTCGTGGTATTTGCAGCCACATTAGCCCCCAAATTTTTGTGCATTTGAAATTTAACGCTTTTGTGAACTTTATATAGAAAAGGCACAACAAAAATGATATCCGTGAATGATCGCAACACAAGAACAGTAGTGCTGAGCTTTTTGTCCATTTGAAGACACTTGTTATCTTGATCAATGATTAAAGTGTACAAGAACAGAGGATCTAGTGAGACGGCAAATACACAGGACATAACAAATATCTTACTCCATATGTGAAGGAATTTCCTCGGTTCATGTTTTTGCGTTCTTACAGCATATAATACCAGTGTAAGCAATACTTTCCAAGGTCCTGAAACAGATCTTGAAACGACACAAAAAGAGTAAATTGCACCTATCAGAGTCATGAAGAAACATAAAATGATCCAGTAAGGTGTTGTCTAGGAGACAGTTAGAGTTTATTGTAAAAATTATTGTGCGTATCAATAACTTTGTCAATTACATCACTTGATTCAAGTGATCTTGCAGCCCTAATATGGCTAGAATAATAGAGTCTTAACTCTGATTAACCAATTACTTAATCTCTATTTGGTAAGACTTATCATAGCGGGATATAAAATATATAATTCCGATTATGGTATTTCTCATTTAACAATAGGCTTAATTAAGAGATATCCTAGTAACTATGTAAAGATTGTCTCTGCTCTCACAACAGTGGTTCTATTATGTGCTAAACCCTATTCATAGTAAGAACGTATAGTTTGGAGAGAGTAGAAGACATTCTTATGCATACGCTGATTCCTTTATCATCTGAAAGAGTCATGTCTTCCATATTCTACAGATAAGTTCAATGATTCAGAATATGTCTTACATTTATGAGGTAAACATAAACTAGTGGAGTGTATGCAAGCTATTATGAGCATTCTTTAGTGTGAAGCATACATAAGGGCTGTGTGACTATGTAGAAGGATGTGCATATGATATGATGATATGAGAGTTCATGGGGAAAAATTGGCAGACAGATGAAATGCAGAAAACTAAATGCTCAACTTTTAAAAGCGTAAGGTGATATTGAATAAGTGAAGGTTGTGCATGAATCATAATAACTAGTTACAGTCATATGATCGATGAAGTATTTTGACCAGCCAAAGCCAGTACAGATATAAGTTCCAGTGTTTGATACAAAGTTGTATTTGAAAAAAACTACAGACGAACAATTGCAGTCTTCATGTAAAGAAGTACATACCCCGCTGCCTGGTTCTCCACATCTCTGTTAGCCATAACTACTCAATCGAGTTTATGATACTCCGTGATGATCAGTATTCCCTGCTAGTCTGACAGTAAAACGAAAATGTTTGTGTGTGTGTTTGAGAGAGAGAGAGAGAGAGTGTGTTTAGCTACATGGACGCTTACAGCAATGATGCCTGAAATACATCCGATGGCTCTCAATTATGCCACGTAATTTAATGATGCCAAATCTTTTTGGTTCTAATTTTATCACCCCTTAACCACTGCCCAGTGCCCACTACTCTACTGTCTGCATCACTTATGAATTAGGATTCGGGGAAATGGTTGCACTCCTGTTCTTTTCCCTACCTCTTCTCACGAACCTGTCGGCGGAAGAGGACCTAACTCCGTTGAATTATTATCCAACGCAGCCATGGAAAATTCCTTCAGGGTAACCAGCACACATACTTATTTTTAAAGAAAAGGAAGGCTTAAATAACATAACCCAGGGTAACCAGTACACATTTATTTTTACCTCTCATACACCTCTTTTAATTTTCGATCGTCGGAGTGAATAAACTGAAAATGATCAATGGACAATAAGTTACAAGGATGTATATAAAATAAAGGAAAAGTGTGAAACCAAACTAGCGTATTAGTCGATATTTTCTGATGTTAATTTGATGTTTTTGTCCCTCGTGGAGAAAATTGCTTGGCTTTTGTGAGCAATCAACAATGAAAAGAGTCTCAGAAATTTCGTTGCACTCCGTGTTCTAAAAGTTTCCGTCTAGTGCAGCTTAGGTGTTGCTATTAAGCAGCTAATCACCGACATGATTAATCTTTACACGTTTAAAAAAAATAAAACAAAGGACTTCTAGACAAACCTAAGCGTCTGTCTTAGACTTGGCGATTGTGTCTGCATCGAAATATCAGTATCTTTTATTGGTTTAATTGCTAGCCTGTGGGAACAGCCAAGCAATTTTCAAAACAAAGGAAAATAACGTCAAATTAACATCAGAAAAATATTGACTTATATGCTCGTTTGGTTGGTTTAACAGTTGAAATGGCTTTTTAGCTACCGCAAGCTGTATCCATAAAAATGTTTTGTCTTTTTATATGACTTAGGTCATTTAATCTGATGTGACGTAGGTCTTTTATATGACGCAAGTCATTTTGTAATATGTATGGTCTAATAGCTTATTAGATAGGACTCACGAATATATGTGAATCTCATATTTATTAGAAAAATTGTAATGTAATATGAAAATTTTGACAAGAGTAAAAATTTTGATTTTACAATAAAAGCCCAAATCCGTTACCAGAGTAATAATGAGAGGCCCAACTCATCAAAGTGTATAAAATAATTACGATAAAATGAAAACTTTTTTGGTTCTTTTAGCTCTATAGAGGGATTGGTTGAGATCAAACACGCACCATACGACTAATAAACTCCTCCTTAGGAAAACTATCCGGTGATGATCCTTTTCCTTATTTGTCAATTACTTGAGGGGTTCACGGTGACTCACGAAAAAGAATCCTCGCCGGATCCTTTTTCTGAGGTTCCGGGGGATCTTGTAATCATCATACATTATGCGATCAGTTTTTGTTTGGTAATATTTATATTTAATTTTAAAATTTAAATTTTAAATCATTTATAACCGCATGATGTACGATGGACGAATATAATTATAAGATCCTCTGGATCCCCAAGAAAATGATCTGTCTGTGACCAGTGTTCTAAAAATCGGTCAAGGCGGCTGCCTAAGCGCTGGGCGGTGGCTGGCTGTGGGGATTAACTCAAAATCGGGAGAAAAATCGGGACATGAATTAGGCGGCCTAGGCGGGCGACTGAGTGGCCTAGGCGGTCCAGGAATTTCAGTTTTGTTATTTTTTTTCAAGAATGCAAATCAACTGCAATCTTGTCTTTCTAGTTTCTGGTTCACAGTTTTGCGAAAGGATGTAGACGATGAAATATCTCTCTCTCTCTCTCTCTCTCTCTCTCTCTCTCTCTCTCTCTTCATTTCACACCACGTACACTGTACATACTTTTCTTATTTAATTTTTTTTCTTAGTTTCCCTCCAATCAAATTTTGACAGCATGCATCAAGTTGCTTGCTTTTTGTCAAAAGCCATAGACTGTCAGTTTTGCATATTGATTTTTCTTGTAAAAAATGATGGGGTGTCAGTCCCTACATCCAAACACCTTTATTTCTCTTTAAATTAAACATAAAAAATTATTTTTTAAAATTACTATGAACCACCCACCCATATTCGCATCAGACCACCTAACTCACGTGGGATTTTTTATTTTATTTTTTTTAAATTAGATATAATCATTCAAAATGTATTAAGTTACATGGTGTATATGCTTAATGTGTTTTTAAATTTTGGACTTGTTAGATACTTTTTTTGCATTTTATCCATAGATTTCATACAAGTATAATTTTGTGTAAGTGTCAATATGTATTATTTACAAGATATACAAAAAATTTACCTAAATCCGCCTAGGCCGCCTAGCGTTTTTTAGAACCTTGATCATTAATATGGTGTAACTTTTTTTGGGAAGTTGAAAATTAGAAGGAAAAAATGAGTATAAAAAGGAGGGAAAAAAAAGATTGAGTCATGTCGTCAACGATGGGTGAATAGGAGTAGAACGGTAGGGAGGTGAATTATCTCTCTTCCTAATCTTTTTTTTTTCTTTCATCTATTTAAATGGATTAAGTTACGTTAATATTTTATATTAATTTTTTTATAAAGTAATAAGATAAAAAATAAAATATAAGACAAAAAAAGATTAAATGAGATTAAATTAAAAAAAAATCCTATTTCAAACAGTAGAAGGTGTTTGCATGGCCTGAAAGTTGAAACTTTCCAACTGATTAAGCCCTAGTTTGGGAGTGAGGTGCTTAAAAAAAACACCCATGAAAAAAAGTTGTGAGGATTTTAGGTGTTTGGTAAACTGAAAAAAAAGGCTTATTTTGGAAGCTGCTGTGAAAATAAGCTGAAATAAAAAAAAAAAGCTGAAGCTGCAATTTGTAGCTTTGGAAAACTGGTTTTTTTTTTCAAAGCACACGGAGCTACAATGCTCCTTTAATAAAAAGACCCACTATCAGACTGCTTTTTTTTCAAAAGCACTTTTACAAAAAAGTTTACCAAACACTCTGCTGCTTTATTTCACAGCCTCTTATTCTCACAGCACAACCGCTTATTCTCACAACAACTTTTTTTCAAAGCATAGCAATACCAAACCAGCCCTAAAACCAGTCGTTGTCAAAACTGGCCAAATAAAAAGAAACCTCACAGCTTTTCCAGCAGATTACAAGTAGTCGCTGTCAAAACTGGCCAAAGAAAAAAAAGAATACGGATTGAGTGTCCTCCCCATCCCATGCTCTCTTTATATCTTTCTATTTCTGTGGTCACGGTTAAGCTACGTCAATATTTTATATTCTAATTACTTTTTGTCTTATTATTTTTATAAAAAATTAATATAAAATGTTACGTGACTTAATCGTGATCACATAATATAAAAGGACATGATAACAGTGGGGAGCGTGTCCCCATTTTTTCAAAAAAAATGGGAATTCCTCCCCTTAAACAATTCATATATATATATATATATATATATATATATATATATATATATATATATATATAGATTTATAAAGCAATTATACTTTTCAACAACACGATATTTTGGACAGTTTGGGGTTTGAATACGGGTTCACCAATTTTGGAAGAATGGATATGTAGATTTATAAAGCAATTATACTTTTCAACAACACGATATTTTGGACAGTTTGGAGTTTGAATACGGGTTCACCAAATTTGGAAGAATGGTTGTTAGAAATGAGAGATTTTTCAACGTGTCTGAATTATAGGCTAATACATTACATATTATTATAATGACACTTACAAAAAAATTCTTCATTTATATAATAACATGTAGAATACCATTCTGTATTTCAAGCACGTTAAAAAATTTCTCATTAATAACATCTTAAATGTTTTGGCCAGGAGGCCTACCAACACAATGACAAAGTTTAGGTGAGCTCTTTAGTATTGAGGTCCACTATAATTAATTAAAGTACCATTCTGTATTTGAAGCACGTTAAAAAATTTCTCATTAATAACACCTTAAATGTTTTGGTCAGGAGGCCTACCAACATAATGACAAAGTTTTAGGTGAGCTCTTTAATATTGAGGTCCACTATAATTAATTAGAAAACTTTATTATAATTCTTCGAAAATATTACTTTTTTTTTTAACAAACGATATTATTTGCAATAAGAGAGAGAGTGGTCTCAGCCTCACAATGGGCTAACAATAATGTGGTTCAAACGCACATTTAGAGAGAATCGAACCTTAGACCTCTCACTTACTTTTAGATTAATAACTTAATAGTAATCAACTTAATACTACGGTCTAGTGGTATTCCGCTTCCTTTGTAAGTAAAAGGTCTTAGGTTCGATTCTCGCCAAAGGCAAATTTGAACCGCATAAATACTAGCTCATTGTGAGATTTAATCACTCTCCCATCCCCTAGTATAGATAATATTGTTTGGTTTATAAATAAAAAAACAAAACTTAATAGCAATGCTAGGTAGACTTAATTTGCAAAATAAATAATGTGTCACCTATAAAAAATAAGCACGTTAATCAACACTTAGTAATAATTCAATTGTCAGCTTTCATGCCATTTAGTTTAAAAATTTTAGTCTTCCGTAACATTACTCATAACTTAAATAAGATTAAAAATTAAATTTAATCCCTTAACTTCATGTTTTATTTCTTTTTATAAGGTCTATCGTCGCTCAGTACTACGATATGGTGATATTTCTCTTCGCTTAAAAGTGAGAAGTTTTAGGTTTGAATCTCGTGGATGACGAATTCGATACCAAATTAGATTGTCCATTGTGTGACTTAGCCGAACATCTCATCTCTTTAATGTAAAAATATCAATGTGCTGAAAAAAAGTAAGGTCTATCGTATGCATTGATTTCTTTCTTTTGATTTCATAAGGGTTACAAAACTGAAAAGTTAAACATTAAAATGAAATTTCTTTCAATGATATGCTTTGCAATTAGGAGTCATGAAAGGAGAACGGTGAGGCCATATCCATGTTTCTCCATATATTCATGCCAATCTCCGTATGCACTATGCGATATCTTTTCTCCTCCTAGTGATAATTAATCAAAGTCGTGAACATATGATAATTAATCCAAGTCCAAGTCGTGAACATAAGATAATTAATCCAAATCCGAGTCGTTAACTTATGATAATTAATCCAAGTCGTGAACATAAGATAATTAATCCAAGTCCAAGTCGTTAACGTATGGTGATTAATCACTAATCAGAACAAGCAAAGAACTAATTATTGTTATTGTGAAAATGCAAGTTGCCGGAAGGAGTTTTCAGTGTTGGAGTTGGTTTCCTCGATCCCTCGATTAGCGGCACACACGGCGGCAGACATAGCAGCTCCGATACATGATCGAACGAGGACAAGCACCGTATGTTTCCGAGACCAACCGCCATTTTTGTTAACATTTCAGCTGCTGGTTGGACAGTTGGACTGGACGACGACGAGTACTGTTTGCTTTCGTCTTCTCGCTTATCTCATTCAGCTCTGCGTCTGTTTTTCATTTTTATTTTCTGGCTTGGGCCAGTCGTTGTCCCTTTAAATGGGCCTAAATATAAAAAAGAGTAAACCCACTGTTCAAAAATAGCCCAATTTTTAAAACGATCCACAATGACTTGCTGGCCCAAGCTTTGCCAGGTGACTAGATATCCACACACACCCCACAAACATCAAAGGGTAGAAGAATTGGGAAAGAGAACTCGAACACATAATCTCAAGTGCAGAGATAAGATAAAATTTTTAACAACTTGAACTATAAGGGTGCGTTTGTTGCACCGGACTATCTCGGACTGGACTAGCTTCATGGACTAAGCTGGACTGGGTTAGAATATACTAAGCTGGACTGATTTAGTGAAGCGTTTGATTCTGTGTCGGACTAAAAAGCAGGACTCATATATTATATTATTAAAATTTATATTTACAATATTTTATCATTAATTTATTCTATATATACTAATATTTTATTATTAAATTATCATTTTCCTTTCTATAACCATTTATTTTGGTCAAGCTTTTAATCATCTTCCTCTCTCATTTTTTTTGTCCGCCCACTGCATCCCTCCCCTCTCCCTTTTCCGTCCAAATCCCTCTCTCTCTTCCTTCTGCCTCTTTTCCTGTCTAATTCCCTGGGGTGATAATCTGATTTTGGATAGTCTCGGATTCGAAGATTTTGCAAATCTCTCTCTGCCTCTTCTATTCCTCTCACAAAATCCCTTGCAAATCTTAAAATCAAACCAAAGAGCAAGAACGAAAATGAAAATTTAGGAGTTGGAGGCAGGATGCATGCATGAGTGACTCGAAGGTGGGAGATGGGGTTGAATTTGCTTTCGGTTTCTGAGTTTTCTGGGTTTTTGGCTTTTTTGGGTTTTCTAGGTCTCTAACTTGGAGATCTTATGGACATATGAGAGGGAGGTGGGGAGAAAGACAGTGGGAAGGCAAGTTCTCAAGCATGGGGTGAGGCAAAGTGAGGGGAAGCGGGGAAACGGGACTAGCAATCCCCTCCTTTTCGGGGGCTCTCGCTAAGCCCATCTAACAAAGGATTTAGTCGGCACGAGTCCGACTTAATCCCACTAAACTCAATCCCGACTTGCACCAAACATAGAATAATAACCTACCCAAGTAGTCCAGTCCAGTGAAACTTAAGGTGGCCAAACAAACACGCCCTAAGTCTTTTGAGCTGACGAACAAGATTCCTAAGCTAAATGATAAACAAACATATTTTTGAAATTTTTTACACCTCTATTAGTCTAGTCTGTTTTTTTTTTATATATAAATTCAATAGTCAAAAATAAAGATAGCGAGTGTGAGAGATTATTTGTCATGTGGAAGAGAAAACTTTTTCGGATTCAATTTTATTATAAATAAAAAATAAAAATAATTAGAATTTAGGGTTTAAACATTGTTTGTGCATAGTCGTTGACAAAGAACTTGTCCAAGTCTTTTCCAAATATTCCCCTAACCTCCCTTTTTTTTTTCTTCTGGAACAAACGATAGTATCTACACTAACTGGGTGGAGCCACTTAGTACTACAGTCTGGTGGTACTCCTCTTTACTTGTAAGTAAGAGGTCTGAGATTCAAATATCATAGATAACAAATTCGATATCAAATTAGGTTGCCCATTATGTGGCTTAGCCGAACTCCCGCTTCTCCTTAATATAAAAATATCTTTGTACTAAAAAAAATATAAAAACAAAACAAAAACAAAAACAAAAACTAAGAGGATGAGGAGTGGGTTAAGCCTTACAATGATTTTTGTATGCTTTTGTCAAATTGCTTGATATGTTTGTTTATTTCCCGATTTAGTGTCAAACTTATCTTGAAAGTTACTATGTTGACTAAAATCTTAAAGAACACGCTTATTTTTAGTTATGCCCCTTGCTACTCAATTTCAATCTCATTTTATTCCTTGTAATTCAAAATTCACTACTTCACTCCCTGTAACTCAAAGTTCGCTTCACTCTGCCTTCTGGAACTCGATCTTGGTCCCATTTTGCCACCAGAAACTTGAAAGTCGACTCTATAAAACTTAAAATCCGCTACACATTGCCTTAGATATATTAATTTCTTATGTGGGATTTGGGTGTGCCAAGCTAAACATTTTATTTTTTATTTTTTTTCATCTCTTCAATTTCTTTTAAACTTAATATTCTCTGATTGAGTGATTGTTGAATGTTAACACATAATGGAGAGTTATAATCAAACTTATTGCACATGTAGCATAGCCTTATTGGGTGTTGGGTCCCACATATGTTTCACGATGCGGCTTATAAGTTTTAGGGAGAAGAGAGAGTCCAAAAGTCAAAGAGGAACAAATTTTGAGTTTTAAAGATAAAGTAGTGATTTTTGGGTCACATGGAGCAAAATGAGATCAAAATAAAATTTCATAAGGCGTAGATAAAAAAATAGGAACTTTAACGAAAAGCTCCCGGTACCGTTCACTTTAACGAAAAACTATATTTTCACACTAAAAAGTCAATCATGATACTATTTACTTTACCCTTTATTTTGTTCTTATCATTAAAACTCAAAGTTTTCAAACCATTTTCATTAGTTTTCATAAAAATAAGCCAAAAAAATATTGAGGGATCAATTGACTTAATTTACAATCACAAAATCACAAAAGGCTTCTTGGTTTTTCCTCTTCTTTTGGGGTTGAGCTAGCTCTAGCTGTCTTTTACAATTTTAAATTAAAGCATTTATAATTCATGTTCAGTGTTCTAAAAAACGCCCTAGGCGCTGGGCGCCTAGCAACCGAGGTGTTTTTGGGCAAATCGGGCGGAAAAATCGGGTTGGGCCTAGGCGGGCTAGGCGGTCCTAGGCGGTCCTAGGAGGTTTTTTTTTTATTTATTTTTTATTAATTGTGTGTTTTTTTTTTTTTTTTTGGTTTCATGGTGGTATACTTATGGAAATGGTGTATCTAATTTGCAAATGATGGATTTACTACAAGTTCATCCAATACTTATGGAAATAGTGTACCTAATTTGCATTTTATCATTATTTTATTATCCATACAAGTATAGTTTTTTTTAGGTGTCAATATGCACTTATTTACAAGATATACAAGAAATTTACCTAAATCCGCCTAGCCGCCTAGCCGCTAGGCGTTAGCCCGCCGCCCGACTAGTGCCTAGCATTTTTTAGAACCTTGTTCATGTTGCAGTGTAGCCAAAAACATATATGAAACGAATTGACAACAGAATTACACACAACAAAATTGCGCCCATCAGAATGAAAATGATGAAACATAAACAAAACTATCGACTTTTCTACGGCATCTGAGACTATTGGATATGTACCCGATTTTAACCGCAAAATTTTTAGTTAAAAATACAAAAATTAAGATTTGATTGTTAAAAAAATTGAAATATCATATACTCTGAAGTACCATAACAAAGAATAATTTGCATGTCATTACATAACATCGATGTCGATGATGTTGATCATAAATTCGGCCAATTAAAAATTGAAAATAAAAAATTTGAAATCCTTTGGATTCTCGCAGAATATGGGATTGGGGTTTATCGACTATTTCATCGTATGAAATAGAAGAAGTCTAGGTTTTAAAAACCATCAATAAAACACTTGCAGTTGACTTGATTACTTAAACCATCTTTGACAAAACATATATCTAACATCAAGCACTCTCTGTATGTAAGGTTTAGAGCGTTCTACGACTAATGTCATCCCATATTTCAGCCGAGGACAGGGGCGGACGTCGTTGCGGCCTTCTAAAGAAACGACGAACGGTAGAGACTGCCACCTCTTCAGGATTGTTACAGTTGTGCAAGTCCCAATATGTTTTGCATCTGGAGACAACGGTTTCCAAGTCCTTGGCCATGAGCACAAATGCTTCCACTTTTGTCTGACTTTTGACATGTTTGCTGGAGACTGGAAGTTCGTTGAAACAGTCTGATGCCCAATCGAGAAGCTCTTCCCCATAAATGTAACCTTTCCCGACGCGCTTGATGGCCATTGATGAGACTCCTTGCCCAACTTGATTATCACTCGACCCGTAGGTCCACACTGTTCCTTGGATAATGAACATCATGCAATCGAGTGGATCTCCCATTCGAAAAACGAAGCTGGTCTCACCGTACGTCACTGGCTTCAGACAGTCGCACATCAACGTCAACACTTTTTCATTCATGCCTTTAAGCCTATTTACCTGCACACATGCGCGCGCATGGACATACATATATCATCAGAACAACATTGCAGTGAAAATGGATGCAATTAATAGATGGAGAGAGATGGAGTTTTGAAGAACATACTTTCTTAAGTGTACCCATGAAAAGATGGCGTTTAACAGTTCTTTTGGTTTGCCAGGGAAGAATAAGGAATGGCTTGTGGACATCAGCATCTTTGTCTTTTTTCAATATTTTTTCTATGCTATCCATGATCTCTTTCTTGACATCATCGGGGAATTTATTGTCGGATATCCACCTTCGTACATCTAGCATCCTCATCCGAATCTTCTGTTTCGTCTCCTCTTCTTCCTCCGCTTTTTGTCTCCTCTCCTCTGTTTTTGTAGCTTCCATCTGCATATAAGTCTGTCACGCCACAAATCAAACAATTACTTAATATACTCGAAGAATGATCTCCGCGGCCACAAACTCCTGAACATGAGAAATTGGTGAAAGTTGAAGTACAGCGAGATTCAGTATAACAACCTGCACGTTTCCAATGAAATATAAAAACAGAAGCAAGCCAACGACCGAAATGAGAATCGCAAACAAGTTTTCCCACACGTACGTACTTGTTGTCAGATTCGTCCCAAAATTACTACAAAATAATAGACAATGTTGCCCAATTAGATAACCCAAAATTTATATCCGTTACATATTTTTTTTAAATTGTTGATTGTCAATGGATACATCGTACCTTAGATTTCGCAAGCCCCACCAGAAAGAGTAAAATAACTTCCTTCCGAACTGTATGTGGTCTACGTTATGATTCTGAAGGGAATCTAGAAATATTCCAAAATTAAATTGGGGTAAGACACCATCTGGAGTATCTAACGGGCAATGCTCGTTTAGAAATGCTATGTTTCTTGAATTAGTAGTTTGATGCCCACAGTAGAAAGTATTCATACACCCAACAGGATCTGGACTATGTTTTGCACAGGCATTGTACCAGCATAATGTCTCTTGTTGAATAGAAAAGAAATACCAAAAAGCTCCAAGTATCTACAAAAGCAACAAATTCATAAGCAAATGATTTATCAACTAAGGAATATGTAATGTTTACGGAAAAATTGTGCAGGGCAATGCTATGAGTTTCTATGTGAACCAAATCGAACAAACAAATCTTGTAATAATTGAAGACGGAAGTAGGTTTAAGCGTACATATAATTTGAAACGCGCATACAAAATCGAACGTTAGTCAAACATTTCTAAAAGAAAGCTTCATCTGACATTAGTGAGTACATAACATTAAGCTTTGATAAAAGGAGTATGATTCTCTCCTTTTTTTTTTTTTTCTTTCCTCCCCTCCTATTTGAACGTTTACGGTTAAGTCACGTCAACATCTTATATTACTTTTTTATAGAAAGAGAAAGACAAAATAGAGAATGTGAGAAAAAGGGATGGAAAGAGGAGGATAAATAATCCTAGTCCTTGATAAAAAGAACTTCTCTACACTTTTTCTTAACAAAAAACAACCTAATAACTTTGTTTAATAAAAATGGCTTGAACTTTAATGAAAAGGCAAAATTTGAGAGCTTTAATGAAAAAAGGTTTTTTCAAATTTTTTTCTTAAAGTCAATTTCAACTCATGGCCTAAAACCTATAATTCCCTTTCTATTCTCCCCCCAATCCATTCCAACCTAAGTTCTAATTTGGACCTAAAATATAAAACCTAAAAAAAAGCCAGATTTAGGCCAAGATTAGTGGTGGAGCCCGTCCCCACATGGGTGTGTCTCCCACTTGTTTGACAATAAAATTGAGCCCAACGGCTCTTTTGGTTGATTAACGGCTCACATTTCAATGTGTTGTTGGTTATCCGACGGTCCACATTTAATTTAATTAATACTTTTATTTTATATTTATAAATTTATTGAATCCAACGACTGAGATCTAATATGATCAAATCTAACGGTAAAAAAAAAGATCTAACGGCCCAAATTTAAATTCAATGGTTAAAATAATTATAAAAAAAATATTTGACTCAAAATTCACCCAAAAACTCTATAAATACCTATATATTTGTTGAAACATCCACACAAAACTCACATTTCTCCTATAATTCTTCCAATTTTTCTTTCTACCATCTTCCAAAACCATGTGTTTGCTCATGTGTCTTGTGTTTATATATCTCTATCATGTGTTTCATATTCTTCTATAGTGTTTCATGTGTCAGTTTAGTGATTTTTCAATGTTTATCAGAATTTAAATATTTTCAGATTAAAATGTTCATAAAATTAATTTAGCATAATCTACATAATTTTTTTTAAAATAGTTAATTAAAAAAAAAAGCCTAAATTCATTATTCTTCCATCACCATCATTACTCTATCTCATCTTTCACCTATCACCATCACCTCTCTCTCCTCTTTCACCTATCACCATCATCATCTCTCTCATCTTTCACCCATTACCATCATCATCTCTCTCTTTTCTTTCTCATGGCACTTCTTCCTCCTCTCCTCTCCTCTCCGGGGAATTTTTTATTTTTTTTTGTTATGTATAAAGTTTAAAAATTTATCATCTTTTGAAGACATAATAATATGAATTATTTATCACATACCAAAATTATTACCGACATATTTTTAATAAAAACACTGAATAAGTTTTATTAATAAGAAATATTGTTTTTTTTTTAAATAATAAATTTCTAGATAGAAAATAATGATCACAATCATGGTCACTATTTCTAAAAAATGATTACTATTTCTAGAAACAGTGGTTACCCTTTCTAGATAGTGGTTGTTATTTCCAGAAATGGTGTCACTATTTCTAAAAACAATCGTCACCATTTTTAGACAGCAATGCTGGGTTTGAGGGGAGCAAACTGTGTGGTCGCACAGGACCCCTAAAGGTAGACCTGGCATTCTTGTCGTTTTCGTGACATACCTGATATCTTAACAGGTCATGTCGTGTAACACTTGTTAAAGTAAAATGGTAATATAATCTGACCGAAAATCGACCCATTAATATTATTAGGTAATATGACCCGACCCGTTAAAGAAAATATATGTTAAATCAATAAATAATAAATAATAAAAAACATAATTTGACAAAAAAAAATGGAAACATAATACTAAATTAGTATATGCATAACATACTGCCACATAAATATTATTTCAAAACATGAAGAAAAAAAAAACATTTGTCTTTCAAGTATTATATACTAAAAAATAAGTCTAATGAAAAAACATTAGTACATTACTACAAAATACCAAATATTCAAAGATATGCAAAACGAAGCAAGTTGAGCTTCAAGGTTGAGGATTTAAAGTTTTGAAACATTAGTACATTACTACAAAATACCAAACATTCAATGATATTGAAAACTGATAATTAGCATGAGTTTTAAAGTTTGTTTCACTTTTAGTTATTGCTTTCTAACATTTTGTAAAAAAAATAAAATTTGGAGGAATATCTTGAAGACCCTTTTTATAAATTTTGCACAGGACTTCCAAAATCTCAAAGACAGCTCTGCTAGACAGTGACACTATTTTTAGAAATCTTAAATTCTAAACCCTATATCCTATATAGTGACATTATTTCTGAAACCGGTGTCATTTTTTTTAGAACTAATGGTTATCATTACTGGACAGTGGCACTATTTCTATATAAAAAATTAAGAAACAGAAGAAAGAAGCATTCCAGATTCTTAAATCTGAATTGGCTGTGGATCCCGAAAAGAAGCCTCATTTTGATGCGGATGTGGGTATCAGTTAAAAAAGAAAAATTGACACCGAAGCTAATGGGTTTCGCGTTTTGAAAAGAAGGAAAATGGACGAGAGATGCTGAGCTTATAAAATTAAAGGGGGTCAACCCAATGTCCTAATCTCAATCTTTTTCAATGATGTCCTTTAACTAATAGAGAAATGCTAAGCATATTACCTCAAAAGTAAGACTTTTTATGGATTCTTTGACACCTAATATTTTTAGTGTAATGTTTTATAATGTTAGAACGAAAATTAATGTTAAACTATAAGATAATAGAAAGTATACGAAGAGTTTCACTTTGAAATAGCATTCTTAGTATTTCTTTAACTAATATGCCTGAAGAATGCTTTTATTGGTTTATTTGTCTTTTAACTAATAACAACTTTTTTTTAATATTATATTAAACTTTTGTCATTTTCATTAAATAAAGTTATAAGAAAGCTTTTGGTTAAAATTTTGAAGCCTTTAATGAAATGATAATTGAAGCGAAACTTACATGGCTGGCAAGAATGTAGAGAAAAAAATTGTATAGACCTTTAAACCAAGTTCCAACAACCTCTCGAAGCTTCTTGGACGACTGGTGAACTCGATATATCCTTGGTAGATATTGACCAAAAATGAAGGCATTCAGAAGCTTTTTATGTTCCACATATTCAGCGCCTCTCATGTTGTAAAATGTAACTACTATTAGCAGCTTTAGAAAAGAAATAAAAAGAAGTTAGAAATCCACTAATTACAGCTAGCTGGTTAAGAATAGCTACACAAAAAAAAAATTAGAGTTTAATATCTCTTACTTGTGGGACCGGAAGAAGAGCGAGAAAATCATTTATGTAGGAGAAGTATAACCATGACATCTTCTGAGCTATTTTCTTGCCAACTTTAGTCAACGCTTTTCCTTTTGATTTCCCATACAAATTTCCTTCAATTTGCTGGGTACTTGAGGCCACAGTACTTGTGGTATTTGCAGCCACATTAGCCCCAAACTTTTTGTGCATTTGAAATGTAACGCTTTTGTGAACTTTACAAATAAAAGGCACAGCGAAAATGATATCCGTGAGTGATCGCAACACAAGAATAGTAGTGCTCAGCTTTTTGTCCATTTGAAGACACTTGTTATCTTGATCAATGATTAAAATGTACAAGAACAGAGGATCTAGTGAGACGGCTAACACACAGGAAATAACCATTATCTTACTCCATATGTAAAGGAATTTCCTCCTCTGTTCACTTTTTCGCATTTTTAGGACATATAATACCTTTCTAATCAATACATTCCAATGTCCTGCATCAGATCTTGAAACGACACAAAAAGAACAAATTGCACCCATCAGAATCATGAAGAAAAATAAAAGGATAGGCATATGAGAGTTCACGAGCATTCTTTAGTGTGAAGCATACATAAGGGCAGTGTGACGATGTAGAAGGATGTGCATATGAGAGTTCATGAGGAAAATAGGCAGACAGATGAAATGCAGAAAGTTAAATGCTCAGCATTTGAAAGCATAAGGTGACATTGAATATGTGAAGGTTGTGCATGGATCATAATCACAAGTTACAGCCCTATGATCGATGAAGTATTTTGGCCAGCCAAAGGCAGTAAGGATATGAGTCCCAGTGTTTGATACAAAAATATATTTGAAAAAATTACAGACAAAAAATTGCAGTCGTAATGTAAAGAAGTACTAACCCCTCTTCTAGGCGCTCCACATCTGAAGCTCTTCCGTAAACCATAACCACTCAATTGAGTTTATGACACTCCGTGATGATCAGTAATTCAGTATTCCCTTCTAGCCTGACAGCAAAAAGAAATTGTGAGAGAGAGAGAGAGAGAGAGAGAGAGAGAGAGAGAGAGAGAGAGAGAGAGAGAGGAGGGAGAGTTTAGCTACATGGAAGCTTACAGCGATGATACCTGAATGGCTAAGTTTAGTAGCATTCTCTGCAGCAAGTGGCAGAAACCGAAGTTTGGTAGCCTTCTCTGCAGCAAATAGCTAGTTGTTTCATGCAGATGATGATGTTATCGATGTAGAAAATCCCTTTTCGAAAACAAATCAAAGTTCTTCTTATTAGCTAGTTGTGTCAAATGGATTACAAGTATTGTTTTTAAGTGTTAAAATAAAGGACTAAATGTGTTGCAAGCATTGTGTGTAGATTTCAAATGGATTACAAGTATTGTATCTAATTTCAATTTTGAACATAATGGAGAATTTACACAATTTTCTTTCAGTGTGCTCAAATGTGCAAAAAATAAATATATCAGATCATTTGAGACATGATTAAAAAAGAGAAGATTACATATGCAAAGAAGTAAAAACACCACAGTAGTTTTTCAAACATTCACATTTAAATAGACCAATTCAAATTGTCCTCAATTCGAAGCCTAGACAAAATTCAACTGAAAAGATGTCATATTGTTGGTCATGCTTCTTATTTGGTTGTCAATGTGTTGTGACAAAAACACCGAATCAAAAGAGCAAACTAAGTAATTAGGTAGTTGTTCAAGTGAATCATAAGTGCACAAAATTAAAAGTTAAAACTTTCCCAACAGTGGCATACCTCTATATGAATTTGGATTACACAATAACCAGAAGTCGAATCTCCTTTTGTATACAAACTAACAACAGTACTGATATTATTGTTTTCCTGGCAGCAGAAACAAAGGGAAGCTTTAAAATGTGTTGAATTAGAACTAGGCATTTGAGCCAAAAAAGTTATTGAGATCGGCATAACTTCTCACTTTGGTCCCTGAGATTTGAAATCGATAGAAATGGTCCTTGAGTTTTCTCACCGTCAATCATTTTGTCCTTCCGTAAAAAACCTATCTTAAATAAGAACCAAAATGACAAAAATACCCTCAGTTTAATAAACAATGGGCCAAAAGTAATAAACAACAAGGGTATTTTTGTCATTTTATCATTATTGAGAAGAGATTGTTCACAGAATGACCAAAATGGTTGACGGTGGAAGGGACCAGTTCTATCGATTTTCAATTTCAATGACCAAAGTAAAGAGTTATGTCAATTCCAAAAACTATTTTAGCTCAAAAGCTGTAGAATTACTTCAAATATATTTAAAATTGCATTAGCAGTGAAACTAGAACATCATAAATATTAGGCCTAATCGGATAAATAGTCCCCGTGGTCGTAAGGTATTCGGATGATAGCCCCTGTGGTAAAAAAATTCGGATTTAAACCCCTATGGTCTAAATCTGTTAGGATTTATGCCCTTCTGTTAAATAATGCTGACGTGGCTGCCACATATATGCCACGTGGCTGCCAAATGTCTGCCACGTGGCAAAAATAATAATTTTTAATTTTTTTTTTAAAAAACCTGAATTTTTACAACAAAAAAAAACCCAGATCTGCAAGAAGAAGAAGAAGAAGAAGGAAAAGGGAGAGGGAGGAGGGTCGCGCGGGGAGAGGGCTCCGGCGAGGGGGGGAGCTGGTCTCCGGCGGGAAGAAGAAGAAGAAGAGAAGAAGAGAAGAAGAAGAAGAAGAAGAAGAAGAAGAAGAAGAAGAAGAAGAAGAAGAAGAAGAAGAAGAAGAAGAAGAAGAGAAGAAGAAGGAGGAGGGAGAGGGAGGAGTCGTGCGGGGAGACCGGCGGGAAGAAGAAGAAGAAGGAAGAAGGAGAGGAAGGAGGGTCGCGCGGGGAGAGGGCTCTGGCGGGAAGAAGAAGAAGAAGAAGTCCGGCGGGGGGGGGGGGGGGAACGGGCAGAGGGCGGGGGAGCTTCTGGGTTTTTTTTTTTTTTTTGTAAAAATTCAGGTTTTAAAAAAAAAATTAAAAATTATTATTTTTGCCACGTAGCATATATGTGGCAGCCACGTCAACATTATTTAACAGAAGGGCATAAATCCTAACAGACTTAGACCACAGGGGTTTAAATCCGAATTTTATACCACATGAGCTATCATCCGAATACTTATCCGATTAGGCCTAAATATTATATTATAGTAGACCAATGCGACAACAAAGTTTTTTTAAATGCCTCGCACTGGCATTGAGACTCAACTTCAATACTTGAAACTTCATTTAAACTTGTAAAGACAAAAACTTAATCAATTAAATACAAATATTCAAACATTGACAAATAAAACACATTGAGAGGAATTACCTTATCAATATCCCAAATCAATGATGGGTTCTGACACCTAAATGGGCAACCGAATCGGACCAAACCCTTTGTCATGTCATTAGAAATTTGAATTTAGAAGATCAAATAACAAATTGCAGAGAGTACTCCGATCATTAAAAATTGGCATGCATGAAGGATACCTCAAATTGAGAAGCTTGAATTTGATATCACGAAGAATAGAAATGCAGCTAGATATAAGTATATATACTGCATGAACCGGCCAGATTCCAATTCTAACTCCTCAAGTTTTCTAATAAAGTGAAGAAAATAATCTTTTGATACCTTGCTGCACAAAGAAATTTTTGGTTGTCAATGTGTTGTGACAATAACACATTATTAATTAAAAGAGCAAATAAGTAAGGGTAAATTACACAAAACTACCTTAATTATTGGTATCACGACACTTTCATACCTCATTTTTTAAAATTGACAATGTCATACCTCATCTTACGAATTTGTGTCAATGTCAGATCTCCGTCAGTTTTTCTGTTAAATGCTGACGTGGCCAGAGAGAGGACCCACTCACTAATCCAACTGGATTAAAAAATAATTAAATATATTTTTAATAATTAAATATTCAAAAATTAAAAAACTAAAAAACTAAAAAAAAATAAAAAATGGCCCAAGGGATCTGGCCTTCCCTTCCACTCGCAACACCAACCCTTTCCCCCACCCGCACCAACCTTCTTCTTCTCTTCGACAACCACCAAAACCCAGAAACCTTCTTCCACCCATCCCCACAACCTTCCCCAACCCACCCCCATCCCCCACCTCTTCCCTTCCCCTACTTCTTCCCGTCCTTTTCGAACCCAAACCTAACCCTAATTCCCCATTTTCAAACAGAAGCCCTCGACCCCATCGCTCTGATTCTCTCACAGAACCCTAACCCTAACCCTTAGCACCGTATTGTCACAAGTTCCTAGGCAAGCTCCATCAGCTACACTCTTTGCGATCGTGCTATGGCTAAAAGGACGCCGTTGTTGGGCGCTCCGTAGCCTAGCAAGTTGTGGAAAGGGGTTTTTGCAGTGGCTGGAATCATGACCACGCTCGTCACTTATGGCATTCTCCAGGTCCCTAATTCCCTCACATTTCTCTAATTCTTCGAATCGATCTCCGTTATCGTGGCGGAAATGTTGAATCTTTTACTTCGATTTCTTGCAGGAGAAGATCATGAGAGTGCCATACGACGACGACAAGGCGTTTTTCAAGTACTCGCTTTTCCTCGTCTTTTGCAACCGCATCATGACATCAGCGGTCTCCGCCGAAGTTTTGTGGGCCAGAAAGAAGGCTTTGGATCCTGTTGCTCCGATTTAGGGTTTGGGTTCGAAAGGGACGGGAAGAGGTAGGGGAAGGGAAAAGGTGGGGGATGAGGGTGGGTAGGGGAAGGTTGGGGGGACAGGTGGAGAAAGGTTTCTGGGTTTTGGTGGCTGTCGAAGAGAAGAAGAAGGTTGGTGCGGGTGGAGGAAAAGGTTAGTGCTGCGGGTGGAAGGGAAGGCCGGATCCCTTAGGCCATTTTTATTTTTTTTTATATTTTTATATTTTTTATTTTTAAATATTTTATTATTTTTTTAATCCAGTTGGATTAGTGAGTGGGTCCTCTCTTTGGCCACATCAGCATTTAACAGAAAAAGTAACAGAAAAACTGACGGATGTCTGACATTGGCACAAATTCGTAAGATGAGGTATGCCATTGTCAATTTTAAAAGATGAGGTATGAAAGTGTTATGACACCAATAGTTGAGTTAGTTTTGTGTAATTTACCCAATAAGTAATTATGCAGCTGTTCACGTGAATCATATGTGCACAAAATTAGAAGTTGAACTTTTCCAACAATAACATACATGTATACGAATTTGGATTACACTGTAACCAGTAATCTAATCCCCTTTTGTATACAAACCAACAACAGTATTGATATTATTGTTTTCTTGGCAGCAGAAACAAAGAGCAACTTTAAAACATGTTTTCCTGCATGCATCAAGTTTTTTTATTTACTCCATTCAAATTCAATTGGGAAAACATATCTTAATTTTAAGAATATTTAATAAATATGTCACAATACCAAATAAACAGATGATACAATCTCAATCTTAGGACTACTTTGGGGAGTTAATCAAACTTAAACAACATTTAGCGACACGTGAGACTCCAAATTATGCCTGAATAACCTTATTTTAACATAGTAGTTTAATTCAATTAACCAATAATTAAAGTTAAAGAATAAACTTAAAAATAATAAATTATTGAGGAGGCTATATTTAGCCTATTCGGTTAGAGATAGTATATGAATATGACCTGACATTGTTCATTTAAAAATAATTTTTTACAGAGCTATATTTCTGGATAAGGCTATATTTAACCCCTTCAGTTGGAGATGACCTAAACCAACCAAATTCCAATTTCAACTCCTTAAGTTTTCTAACAAAGTAAAGCTCAAGATACCAAAACTTTCTTTGGATAGCAAAGTATCAAAAGCTTCTATTCTTCACTCATAAAAGCGTTCAAATTCTCCACCAAAAAAAGGCTCAAACTTCCTTCGATTGATGTCATAATTTTAGTCTCAAGCTTTTTTTTGTTTTAAAATTTTTACCCAACATTTAGTTTATAAAGTGCATTTCCTGTAATTGAAGTTTTCACTTACTTTCACAATAATGATGGCAAATTGAAATCCCTCTATGGTCAGAGGAGGCTGAAATATCTATATGAGTCTTTTCGGCCTCCAAAAAGAGTGAATAACAGTGATTTGCCACAGTACTTCCCATTTTCTTAAAAAAAATAAAAATTTGAAATCCTCTATGACAAAGTTTTATTTAAGTTAAGCCAAAAACCAAAAACAAAAGCATTTAAAAATTAAACAAAAATGGAGATGCTGGAGGATTCAACATAGTTATTTCTCGATATCACACCCATTTTTACTTCTCACACACCCTTATAATTTTCGACCATCAAATCGGATGAAATGAAAAAGATCAATGGACAGAAATTAATAAGGGGTGTGTGAGAAGTAAAAAGGGATGTGTGGATAGCACACCCCAAAAGAAAAAAACTTCTCATTGGGAATAGAGTAATGCTAGATAAACTAAATGATGTGTCACTAATAAAAAAAATAGGGTAATGCTAAGGAGATCAAATTTTTAAGGGTAATGCTAGGGAAACTAAATTTGTAAACTAAATGAAATGGAAGTTGTTGATTGAATTATTACTTAAGCATTAATTAACACGCTCATTTCATATTAGTGACACATTATTTAGTTTCCAAATTTAGTCTCCCTAGTATTACCCAATTTTTAAACCAAATTTGCGAACTAAATGATATGTCACTAATAGGAAATAAGCACGTTAATTAACACTAAGTAATAATTTAATCATCAATAATCATGTCATATACTCTAAAAAATAAACACGTTAGTCAACATCAACACTTAAGTAATAATTCAATGATCAATTTTCATGTCACTTGTCTTACAAAATTTAGTTTTCCTAATATTACTCGGTAGAGTATAATATATCAAACTAACAAAAGTAAACACCTCATATATAGAGGCAAATGAAAATGGAGTTCACCTTCAATCCGAACCTCCCAAGCAACTGTCGACGACACACCAAGAATCCCCCTAACCGAAGCGATAGACATATTTGGCACGCGTGACATACAGAAAGAAACAGGTTTTTCAATCAACCTCTACAATGTGACCCTCGCAAATTTGTCAGTTATTGTCATGCCCTTTCTAAACTTTTCAACTTTACATCCAGCAAGAACATACAGCAGCACATGCGGCGGCAGACATAGTACCTCCTCTTCATGATCGAGGACGAGTACTTTGCCGAGACCAACCACCATATTTGTTGACTTTTGAGTGCTGCTAGGACTGGACGACTATCATTGTTTGCTTTGCTTTCGTCTTCTCACTTCATCTCGTTCAGCTCTGCATCTGTCTTTCCTTTTTCTTTTCTACGTTGGGCCCGTCGTTGTCCCTTTGAAAAAAAAGGTAACAAGCTGTTAACTTAGGGGCCTTTTTTAAAATGGGCGTAAATATAAAAGAGCCTAAACCCAAACAGTTCAAAAATGACCCCATTTTTAAAACGATCCACAATTACTTAATGGTCCAAGCCTTGCTAGATGACTAGGTTTCCACACGCACCAAAAGATGTAAGAATTGAAGAGAACTCAGAACACAAAACCTCGAGTGTAAAGATAAGACAACGGACAAGACTTTTGAGTTAGCGTTTGGGCTTAGGGTTTAAGTTTTTTTTGAGTTAACGGATAAGATTCTTGAGCTGAATGATAAATATACATATTCTTGAGCTGAATGATTAACAATCGGATGTGAAAATCCTATCCCAAAACCAAATCATGTTATGTACTTATGCTTATTTATTAGTCTTTTGATTTTGCTCAACCCACCCAACTCAATTGCCACCAATCACGCCACTGATCAGACTATAAATTATTCACCAAAAATAAAAGTATAAAGCTGAAACTACAAGTCCACAACTCCAAAAGCCCCGAAAGGTTTATGGGTTGAAAAAGAAAAAGAAAAAAAAGTAGCAAACGAGGTATTCAATAGGATCCACATAGCTATCTACTCCAAATCAATCAACACCTTTTCAACGGTGGTGGGTCACCCTGAACCTTAAGCAACAAATAAACCTGCATGCTTTGTAGGGTGAGAATTTGAACCCGTAAGAAATGCGAGGAGAGACACTTATGCGCTTTGATTAACTAACTTAACACACATATGTATAGAGTCCGAAAGTTGAAAATGATGTTATGATGGGGTCTCTGCTTCTTCTTCTACTTGTCCTCGGTGACCTTGTTTAATGAGGCATGATGAGTGCCTCCAGGTCATGTATTTGGGCTTTTACCAACAACATGTGTGCGTGGTCATTGACATGTGCTTTTCAACACCCACATTTTTTTGTCATCTTATGTTTTTGGCACAATATTTTATAATGTTAGTACGAGAATTGATGTTAAACTGTGAGATAACAAATGATCTATAAAGACTCCGGCTATTGAAAGAGTCTCCGTGGCATTTCTCATGTGTGTTATATTATATGTGTAGTAGTATAGGCACTAGTATAACTCGGGAGAACTTCTGACTGTATACCAGCAGCTTTCCTTGCCTTACAAAATCAATTACAAGGCCTTCAGCGGGCCTAGCAGCGTACCATTTCCCTCCCAATCGAGAAACTTCCCTAAAATCGAATTTTATTGGAACAATCTTTTAAGTTAATTACGCATGACTACCAATTGAGAAACTTTCTTAAAATCAGATTTTCTTGGAACGGTATTTTAAGTTTATTACGTATGCCACGCAAGAAAAATAAAATTATGCTACAATTCATTTAAAATATTGTTACAGTGACGTTTCCGTAATGTCAACAAGAAAGATTAAACCTATCAAACTTGTCTAGAAAAAGGTTAGGGTTTTTTATGGAGAAATTTCCACGAAGTCCAAAATATTCAAAGACTCAGTTTCAAATCATTTTATGACAAGAGGTGGAACCCATGAACCCCTTTCCCTCCACCATCACCACCACCACAAGTGGAAGTGGGAAACCCAACAAAATAGGCTCATCTCCTCCATCTCAAGAACAAGAAGTGGAAGAAAAAACAACACCGCAATTTCCAATTTTTGGATGTGGTCCACTGTTTGTGTTATAGAAAGTGGGCCCTCACCTTATCGATAAAAAGCTAAGGTTATATTTTTGCTCACCATTATAAATTATGATGTATGTTTACTATACACCTCATCTTCTGATACGTGTCCTTTCAATTAACTATGGTTAATTTTTTTTCAAAATTAGTGAAGGACATTTATTATTAAAGTTAATCATAGTTAGTTGAAAAGACACATATCATATGCTGAGATGTATGATGAGCATACACCATAATTAAGATGGGAGTATTTTTGCTTACCACCATTTAGTGTGGTGTATACTCACAATCCTATTAATTACCGTTAGATGAGTTTGAATTTCGAGATTCGTGTAGTGGATAAGCACAAATTTAAAAATTCAAACTCATCTAACAGTGATAAATATGATGCTGAGCAAAAATGCACTCCCAAAAGATAAATGAAAATAAAACACTAACTAACAAGAAGGTAGGACCCACAAAGTCGCTAATGAGTCAAGATAAATAAAATTTTTAGTGTATCAGAAACATAACCTGTTACACCAAACGTTATAATATAAGTAATTGAATTATTTTTAAAGTTTACAATCACTTTAGTTAAATCAGTCCAACAGCGTTCTTGCTACCAAAAGGAGAGACTTCTGCTCATTAAAAAATCAAAACTGCCTCAGAATCGCCGCCTACACAGACATGCTAGTCTTGATGGATGTCCCTCCACGCTCTCCCTCCTCTCCCCCTTTCTCTCTCTGCTGTATTTTTTAGTCTTCAAGTAGAATCTCCAAAACCATAGAGAAGAGCTGTCGTTTTCTTTTGGATTAGTCAAATCTTGTACCAAACCGAAACGGTCCACTTTCAAACGAGCTCCCTATTTATGTCCTTCTTCTTCCTCGCCATTTAGGTTTCATACACTCCACAAGTTTCAAACTTTGAATTCGAATCAGTCGGCTTCTGGATTTTTGCCTTCTGGGTAGTTCTACTTTCAGCTCCAGAAGAACTTGCACTGAAAAAAGTTACCAGGTTAGTGATTCCTTTCAAAAACTTACCCAATTGGAATTTTTGTTACTGTGTTCAAGAGACAGAAGAAAGGTGAGAACTTTCAGCTGAGATAATGCCCAACTGCACAAGTGTACTGTAATTTTTTATCATTTGCAAAATTACCTTCTGTAACAGAGAAAAGGGTGATGAATTTGACAATGTTTGATGCTTTTTAGGATCGGTAGGCCACTATTTCTATCTAATTTTCATATTCTTTTGTGTTTCAGAATTACCCATTTGAATTTAAAAACAAAATAGCCTGAAAACCCAGAATTATCTCAACAATTAAGGAGAGGGAGCTGAAATTTGACAGCTAAATGAGCTTTAAAGTGTTGTGAAATGTTTAGTATATATTGTTGTGATTTTCTTGTCTGAAATGGTTGATGAGATGAGGCAAAGCACTAAGCTTTTATGTTGTTGAATTTCTTATTCCCATTATACTTTTTATCACTGGTAGGACTATTCTCTAATTAAATTAGTTGATTGGGGTATTTTATTAATTAATTGTTTAAGGAGAGGCTCCTCTCTTTCTTGCAAAGGCACAAACCTGGTGATTTTATTTGATTCTAAAATTTTTGAAGTTGGAATGGAGTTTTCATTGGTGCATAACCTAACTCTTCCTCCCTCCCTCCTTCCCCCCCTCTCTCTCAGAGTTTCTTTCTCTTTGGAAGGATTTGGTTTAGCTTAATTTTCGATATTTGGTGGATTTCAGGGGCTGAGTTGTGCATATACCACACTGTAACTTCAAATGTTCTTATCTTGATTGTTTGCAGCATAAGGATATCTTGGTTCACTTTCAAAGCTTATGCTTGTGGGAACGATGCCTACCTCTACAATGCCCATCCCACGGGTAGCATCTAATTTTGATGAGGTTTCTATGCATCAGAGCTTGCTTTTCTCTGATAGTCTCAAGGTCTTCTTTTGCTTAAATATTACTGTTTTATGTTGTTTTTAGTTTTGCCAGTTGAGTGAAACGAAATCGTTTGGGCTTTTATTATCTTCCCAAAATACTCTTTGGTTTTCCGTATACCTCATTTATAAATATCAGAATTCGGGAGATGTTAGCTTGTTATACTGCAAAAATCCCTTGCAACTGAAGTTGTGTGATTTTCTTTGTGCATTGCATTATTTTTTCAGGATTTGAAGAATTTGAGAAGACAATTGTACTCAGCAGCAGAGTACTTTGAACTGTCATACACAAATGATGACCAGAAACAAATGCAAGTTGTTCGGGTTCCTTGCAGTCAGGGTTTTGTAATGCTAATTCTTTCTATCCTTAGTATCTTTTTTTTTTAATTATACAAAAATCCTCTTGTTGTGCAGAGTGGTAGAAACATTGAAAGATTATGCCATTAAAGCTCTCGTGAATACGGTGGATCATTTGGGTTCTGTTACATATAAGGTTAACGATCTCTTTGATGAAAAGGTGGATGAAGTTTCTGGCACAGAGTTTCGGGTATCTTGCATTGAACAGGTAAGGTAACGGTTGAATTAATGAATTTGTCAACATATGGTAGACATTTATGATTCAGGTTTAATTTTAGAAAGAAATCTTGAACAAGCTTGTCTGATATGTGGTTCTGTTTGAAATGATCGGTGGAAAATGCCTTTTGGGGTCTGTGGTATAAGATAATAAGTCTCCTATGTAGGTTCGTAGGTCAGTTTTCAAAAGTTTTACATGATAATCGTCAGTCAGGAAATCAATTTTTTCGCATCACCTTTTTAAACCATTGTTCCGTAGGTTGATTTGATGGAATTCTGGTGCTACAGAAAGAGTAGTCATTCCTTTTAGGAAAGCCTAAGTCGACTCTTTTCAATTCAATCCGTTAATTTCTAGCTATATTTTTCAGTCCCAATACTCTTTTATGTTTCTTTTAGAGGATAAGGACATGTCAAGAATACATCGATCATGAGGGTCTTTCTCAACAGTCGTCGATTATAGATACTCCTAAATACCACAAGCGGTACATCTTTCCAGGCAAGTACACACCCATCCTCTCAATTTACTTTTTCATACTATACAACACATTTTATATGACTAATTTTTTTTTTTTTTGGAAATACGGAGATATAAATGAACGAAAATTCTCACAACTTAAAATCACTTTCAGTTAGTGAGACCATGCACGGAGGCAGCAGAACTAAATCCAAATACCAAGAATGCAACCTAGATGATGAAGACGAATGGCATCAATTTCGGAATGGTAGGATGCTCTATCTCCCAATCTCCCATCTTGTTTCAGTACGTGTGACTAAGCATGAGTTTAACATATTCTGGTTCTTGTTATAATCTGATTCGATTCCTAAAGCTGTTCGCGCTACAATTAGAGAGACCCCACCATCTACTGTCAGGTAAATATTACTGCCGTATCTTTGCTTGAACCAAGGTGGTGACCCAATTTCCTTTCTCATTAACGATAGTCATGTTTTATGCAGCAAAGGGCGTTCTCCGTCTCCTTCTCCACAACCTCCCCGGCGACCTGGAGTTTTTTCGTTTACGTCTACCATGCCCAAAAAAGAATTAGGTGAGCATGAACCTTGGAATTGTGATATTGACACTGTTGTAGTGAATTGAATATTGATAATCTGGTTTTTGATGATGTTTACTATCAAATCAGACAAGCGAACAGTTTCACCTCATCGATTTCCACTTTTACGGTCTGGATCTCTTGCAAGGAGGCCAACGACCCCAAACAAAAGTCGGTCAACTACCCCGAACTCAAGTAGGCCGACAACTCCAAATCCTGCTAATGCCAGACGACGGGTGAGTGTAAGACTAGGACTACTTTTACAATGTTTACCGAGTGTCAGTTCTTCTGAAATTACGGTTCCCTTTGATGTGATAATCGTAAACTGAGATGTTTATGTATATACAGTACCCTTCGGAGCCTCGGAAGTCAGCTTCAATGCGATTACCTGCTGAAAGAGATAATGGCAGAGAGGTTGAACAATACCCCAGCAAAAGTAAACGGCTACTCAAGGCCTTGCTTAGCCGGCGAAAGTCGAAGAAAGATGACATGTTATACACTTACTTGGATGAATACTAGAAATTGCGAATGGACATTGGAAGCAGAAAATACTGCTTCCAGCTTTCGCTTTCGTACTAGTTTGGTACTGAGGTGCTTTTATAAAAAGTGGGTATAAAAAAAAGCTGAGCTCAAAAAAGTGTTTGGTAAACGCTTAAAAACAGCTTATTTTCACAGTTTTAGGTGAAAAAACTGAAAACGTGAAGCAGCAAAAATGAGTTTATTCTCACAGCACAGCAGAATCAGTTTTTTTTTCAAAGCACAGCAATACCCAACCAGCCTTTCGTTTGATTACCTTTTCCTTTCTATAAAGCAATGTGTGTTTTCATATTTATACACTGTACGGTGTATATATCAATATTACTTCCCATTTCAGAAGTTTGCTTGGCAAGAGACCATTCGAAGCTATTATGTCGAGAGGAAATACATTGTCGTTTGATTGCGCCTTCGAAAATCGCCAAATCTGTCCGAAACTTCATAATCAATCATACATTGTAGGATTTTGCAGCATAATGCATTCAATCTACGGATTGTAAATCCAACGATGCATAAATCGCATTGAAATGTTGCGTAGAGGATATCGCTGAATGCTATAGGTCGTATGCTAAGTAATCAAACTACAATTCATGCTTTGAATCCTTTCATTGAAAAACTAGCAAAGCTAACCGCTCACAGTTCCAATCCATTTCCAAATTCTTCAATTGTTTTCGTGGCGAGTGTCAACGCATCTAACAAAGCGCTGTATGATGCTCGAAGAAATCTCGCCTCAACAGCCTCAAAGTGCCTGTACATAAGAATAAAAACCACCACAGGTTCAGTTGTAGCAGATTTACTGAGTTTGATAAAAGTTCAGAAAATTAATTTTATCGAACGGAAATGCTTACACGGAAAGCTTGCAGTTGGAAACTGACATCTGCCTTTTCACCTTGTCTGGTTGCAACTGCAGTAACATATGGAATCAGATACGAAAACAATCAAACCGATATGAAGTTATGAACTGAGCAAAACATAGTTTTAACATATGAAGCATCACCTCCTTATCAACAGCTAATGTTGCATAGACAATGGAAGCACTTTCCTCGGACTCAAAATCTACCTCCAAGTCACTGCACATAGAATTTCATTTTCTTAATGACAATGTTCCTACTGTGCGGGTTAAGGAATTCGCAGAGGCAGATAGATTCCAAACGATGAAAATGAATCCATGATCTCTGCTTCCCAGAGAAACAGCCCTCGTAAAACGTTTACCAGGCTACCCAACTGTACGCACTCCCATAGTCATTGATGCATAGTTTTCCCCTTACAGTTTTCCAATTCAAGTTGTTCCAAAAAATATCTAGAGTAATCTCAAAATCCATGCACAATGTTTTTGAACAGGGTTTGCCTCAGCATATCTGGATCTACCTACCTCACCAACAGCCCTAGAACTACTCCCTAACATAGCTTAAAACCTCATCAGCTCCTATGAATAGCTCCAACCAAAATTGGAAAAACTAACACTGAAGCGAAAATATAGCAGCAATTCATCTTTTACAAAAAAATTTGAGATGTATTTCACACTCTGAATGATGAACATCGGTTATTGCATGTATTGTATATTGCAACGAACGAGATGAGTTCGGTTTTAACACGAAAGAGTAAGCTACAGCATATACACACAAGATTAAGACAACAACAAGGGGGAGCACACAGTACAGAAATCCAATGAAAATACCATAAAACCAACCATATAAGCTACACATACATAAACCCAGAAGCAAAATTATCGAAAAGAAACTAGGAACTCGAAAATCAGAGACTATAAACTGCAATTCGTTCAAACAGATTCTCAAGAAAGCAAATTCATGAGGAATATGCATAGAGATAGAGCTTTTTACAAATCGAAGCAAACCCATATAAAAAAATCAACTAAAGATCTTTACTTTTCGGTTCCTGAGGGATTGAAAGAGGAAAATAATCAAAACCCAGAAAAAATCCAGGTGAAACTGTTGACTTTAATCACAAAAGTAAACAGATTTCAACAGAAAAACATGGTGAGAAAAATAGACATTGGTATATAAGAGAGGAAGGAGGGAGAGAGAGAGAGAGAGAGAGAGAGAGAGAGAGAGACCAGCTAAACTCCCACTGGGTTTGGGCATCTGCCATTGTCATGTCAGAAGCTGCTGCAGCCATGGTTCTGTGGAGCTGAGAAGTTGGAGACGATGAGCTGGGCGTCTCACTGGGGTTTATTGGGTTCTAGTCTTCTAGACTAACAAAACGCTGCGTTTCCGGAAAAACAAAACGAAACGACGTAGAAGAGGAGGGTTTCGTTTTTAGTTTTAAACTGACGGAAGTACCCCTACTTCTTGTGGTGGGAGAAAGGTACGGAAACTGGGTTTTTGGGGTTTTAGACGCGAAAGGCATGTATTGCGTATATCCAGCGGTATATCAGCCATGCTACCATCCAAATAAACTCCCACTGCTTTAGAGATGGCATCTTATTCAGCACAACAATAGCATCTCTCTCTCTCTCCCTCTCTCTCTCTCCCTCTCTCTCTCTCTCTCCTACCTTCCTTTCACTCATTTTTGACACCTTCTCATCCAAGCAAACAACAAAATTTTCTCAGATGCATGCAAGGACAAGGTACGTTATCTCTATAACACCATCATTTGGTTTAACGACATTCAGTATTCAATTTGTAAGAGGTCTTAAATTCAAATTTATGAACGACGGTTATTGATTCTAAAGACGTATGTATCTCAGGTAAGATGATATGTTTGTTTGAGGTAAATTAACCAGCACTTGATGCTGCTGCATGTATATCCTATGAATATCATTGCTGTTATACGTATACAATGTAAGATTTTGATAAAACATAACTATTATTTCAATAGTGACCATATGAATTAAGTTGATAAGAGTTTTGTAACGATAGGTTATATGAAACATTCAAAACAATAATGTAGAGGATTTATATTGTGGGTAATTATGAGTTATTTAGAGATCTATTGTATTCCTAATAGGTGGATATGAAGAGGCCGCGATCGGAACGAACCACTTCAGGGACAGGAGCGGGATCCGGAGCTACCGGGCGACGAGGATCACAACTGCAGATGGCCCTGCTTTCCAAATTCACGCTTAAAAGTGTGCTAAGCCCCATTGAAAGCATAAGCATACAGTTTTGCGAGAGTAGAAAACTATCTTTATTTCCAGTCATCATGTCTTCTTCATTCTCAGGTACGTGTCTATTACTATTGTGTTAGTATTGACTCTAGTTAATTGTGATTCTATGTGTTAGTTGATAATTTAATTCCCCAAATTACCCTTCCGCGTGAGTATAACTTGTGTGAAACAAATTCATCGTCACGCACATTATAATTGCTTGTTCAAACTCCTTTTGATTCATTCAGTCCCGAAGTCTTGTATTTTCATCCCTTGATTTTCATTTGATTTATTCAATCCTAAAGTCGTAAGACTATAGAAAGAGGCAGGAGTGCAAAGATAAAAAAGGGGAGTGCGAAAATCTCTTCCCTTTCATTTTCTTCAAATTACTAAAAAATAAATAAAAAATAAATAAAATTGAACAGTTGAAATTATATAGTAACAGTTGAAACAATCTGTAAAGACTTGTTTGTCTTCAGTACAAATGGATCAAATTATTTTCATATGTTGCAAGTGAATTGAGGATTGGGATCTGCCTAAATATTGGCCCTTGTGATCTCTCTCCGTTCGTGCCTCCGATTGCAACATGTCTGTCATTTCTTGTTAATAAATCCCGGTTTCCGGGAAGAACACATCATACAGCATTCACCAACGCCGATAGAATGAAAAATCGATGAACCCCAGTTGAGCAAAACATGGGGGGATCTTCGATGATCAGCAGCAGCTTATGTGATGGCATGTCCAACTCTTGCTGGTTTTATGGTTCTGAAGGCTCTCCTTGCATTCTCAAATGCCAATGTAAAGAGGCCAAAGAGGTATAAGAGGAAAAGATGTAGCTTTTCGAATACACTGCACATGAACGATACAATTCTCCCTTCTCCGGTACTAGTTCTGATAAGCGAAATTCTTGTAACTATCCACGCTGCACAAGACACTATATATTAGCACGTAATCACAGATTATATTGACATCTATACAGCAGGCATGCTGCCATTTGGTCCATGGTCTTATACAAAAATAGAGAAGGAACATTTCGTTTAGGTTAAATTTGCTCACCCGAACTTTTTTCAGGCAAATTTGTCCAATCGTGTGGCTCAGTCTTTGCTTCCGTTGCCTTGATCAGCTCCATAAGAGCTTTGTTTACCTGATATGTAGTACAAATTAACATAAGATTTCCTTCCGTCAAGCTTCATTGAATCTTATAACGGATGTTTCCATATAATCTCATAACTAATGACAAGCAAAATATACCTCTTCAGTCCTCTCGTGACTCACTAGATGCCCTCCGGGAAGATCTACCATTTTCGCAACAGGATGCAGCTTCTCTGCCAGTCTCCTTGCGTAATATATTTGAGCAATGACATCATGCCTGTCAATTTAATTAATGTCATGATGGTTCTTTGAAGAAATGTGATGTAATGAGATGGAAAATCAAAATTGACAAATTTCACACAAAAACTTGATTTTCGGAGATGATTTGTTTGAGAGTCGGAAATGTACATATGAACCGGTGCCTTTCTGTAGGCACACAAATTCCATTCCTACTATATACAACACAGGAAAAAATAGGACATCTGAGATGCACTGCATAGTATGTTGACTGCACCTGCCATGGATGACTGAAACGAGAAATCCTGCTGAGCGGATCAATTCAATCTCCATTCGCATCATTTTATGCGTCCAGCATGCATTTACTTGGCCCTCAAAACCATGGTTAGACTGCATCCCGGTTGCTGATATACCTTTTACATATTCCTGGAGATAGGTTCCAGATCAGAACTTGGATGTTGTACTACAAATTGTATCAAAGCTCAACCATTGCTAGCAATAATGAAACGAAAATCAAAGTAATTCAATAAGTAGTTCCTTTCGGATTTCTTACTTGATACAAAATTTCCCTTCTCGTTTTGGATCCGACATATTCCTCAAGATATCCCTGCACATTAACACAGTGAAAGTGTGAGAGAGTTGTTCTTCTTTACACAATTCCTAACCGATTTTTCTTTCGCTGATTGTTGATGCAGAGTTAAAAGATAGCAAAACGACAGATCAAGAGCATTGTTAACCTTCGAGTAGTGAGTGTCCAAGTCTACAGCCGCCCTTTGCTCAGGAGTCTTTGCCCTTAAAAAACGGACAGCAATGGATATTGTTTGCCGGTCAAGCTGAAAAATATTGAACATATCAGTGACAACCAACTTCAACTGTAACCTGAAGTACAGTTTCTAGTTCATGGGGAGTGGGAACAACGTTAAAGGTAAATTTTATACAACAATGACATGTTATGTACAAAGCTACAAACCCTTGGTAAACATTCGAAACCTCCTCCGGTCACATTAAGCAAAGCCAACGACAGAATTCTACTGGGCACCATTGCTGCTAATTTGCAAGCTATCATAGCTCCTGTCGCCGTAGTAAAATTCAGTCAGTGCCAAAAGCAAGTATTAACTTAAAACTACTGAATTTCAACGAGCCTCAGTGAAAAGAAAGTAGTAACTCACCCATAGAATGCCCGAAGACATGGGATTCTCTCCAGCCCAAGTGATCCATCAATGCAATTGCATCCTTTGCCATTGTTCTTGTTCTGCAACAAAAAGAAAAATTGACATCATCAGTTCAGCTTCTGATTCCCATATTTTCGGGAAATACACACAAGTAAAACTTTTTACAAATCTTCAATAACAAATCGAACTTTTGCCGAAGTTGGCTAGAGCAGTGTGCCCCATCCTCTGCACCCTAATTTGAATCTCCCCTCCGTAGTTTACTAAATTTGATGTACTTAACCTATCGTTTTTCAAAAGAAAAATTAAAATAATCGAACTTTTGCCAACGTTGGCTAGAGCAGTGAGCTCCATCCTCTGCACCCTAATTTGAATCTCCCCTCCGTAGTTTACATAAACTTGATGTACTTATCCTATCTTTGTCAAAAGAAAAATTAAAATAATCGAACTTTTTTCGCTAAATTGCACTCAACAAACAACAAATGACTACTCCAATGAAAGATGTAAATTTGAGATTCCAATAAACTTTCTCTTTTTTATTGGCGGGATCCACCACCAAAGATGTAAAAGAATATATATTTAAATTTTTATTTTTATTTCTATTTTTCGGCCAAAATTTATATTTCATCTTTCAATTGAAGTATTTTCCGGCCAACTAAAAATGCAAAATACACATTTCAATATATTTTTCTGCTAAAAGTTGGCATCGGAGGATGCAAAATGCTTTGAAATTAGCTTGAGCTGAAAAAAATTGACTTTTTCAACAAGTGATGAAAACTCACGTATATTCTGATTTTTTGGTGGGGATGGAGCTCCGACCCATGCCCCGGTTATCGAAGGCGCACACCTCGATGCCAACGCCGCTAAAACCAGCCTCATTGTCGGAGCAATCGGCGGCTGCCGCCCTCTGGTCATCATTGGGGATAACGGTCCCCGTCAGGCCCTGTATCTGTGGACCCCACGAGTCGTGCGTCCCCGCCAATCCTGTGCATCCATTGCAAAATCCATCAACAACCCAGAAAATTCCGGCCAGAATCCAGTTCGTCAAAAATATTTTAAAAATTAAAATCCGATCAGAAAAAGAAAAAAAAAATGAATCTTCGAGATGAGCGACCTATGATGAGGAGGACCTTGGTAGGTCCGCGGCCGTACGTTCGGTAGAAGATTTTGATTCCGGCGTTGAGCTTGGCGTCCGCCGCGGCATTCTGCGGCGACGCGACCTCGCAAAACGGCATCGTAATGGGGACGGAAGAGCAAGATAGAATTTCAGAGAGAGAGAGAGAGAGAGAGAGAGAGAGGAGCAGTCTGCGTTTTGTTCAGCTAGCTTGTTGGATGTGGCCGCGTCCTCATAGGATGCGGTTGGCGGGAACACGTGGCGGATAATCAGCGGTTGTTTCGGTGTGTGGGGAATAGTTCGCTGTGCCGAATCGGGTCAAAATCGACAATCTCATCCAACGAGAAGAGAATGGGAAGCATCTAGCATGTAATGTAATAGTTCATTTAATTTAGCAGATTTTAACGAAAAATTTCAAGTACTGTTCATTTTAATGAAAAATCACATTTTTACATTAAAATTTTAATTTTGATACACTTTACTCTTTATTTTGTCTTTATCGTTAAAATTCAAAATTTTCAAGTCATTTTCATTATTTTTCCTTTTAATTTATGCTTAATTACACATATGCCCCTAAAACTCAATTCGTTAAACTCTCTAAACTCGAACGATAAGGAGTAAAGTGAGAAGCAATTTGAGTTATTAAAAAGTTGACGGTTAATGAGACTTGAATTGAGTTTCAAAGATTTAAGTATAATTAATCTAATTCATTAATTGTTATATTTCTTTTGGCACATAGGCATTGTTCAGATTGTTCACATTTTTTCGGTAGAGTAATAACGTTAGTGGATTACACAATTAATTGTTAGAAGAAAAATATGAGTGCGGTTCAAATTCGCAAAGCATAATTATTTTTTTCATCAATGCAGTAATGAGCTTAGGTCCAATTGTGACTTGAATCCACTTGTCAACGAATCATAATTAAATTAATATTTTTTTCGCCCACATATGATTAATTGTTGTTGTAAAGAACAATTCGTGGGGTTCGTTGTCACTTTCTTTTGACAATTTTGTTCGTCTTTTTGATGGGCTCGTTTAATCCGTCGATCTCGGTAATCAAACGTGTAATTAAACCCTAAAAATAAAAAACGTCGAGGAGCAAAAGTAATTAGCCGAATTGTCAACACACATATTCTAGAAGTTTGACTTTACTTGGTTCAGCTATTAAATGTACCCTTTTTTCAAAGGTAAATTTTGCTAACGGTCTGGGCAGGTGGTGGCAGTTCGAAGAAAACTTTGTGAGGACCTTTGAGGATCACACAATGGTATAGGAAAGATCACAATGAATGTCGATTGTGCAAATGCCAGACAACAGAAGCTTTGAACTAAGAAGAAAATATAATTTCAGACGAATATGAATACATGGAAGACCATCATGACTTTGCTACTCTTGAACCTTGGTTCAAACAAAGAAGAAAAACTTTCTCCCCATTTTTCATGTGACCGACTCCACATTCTTCTTTTTCTTTTTTGTAATTGTTGTCCAATCAAATTATGCCACCTAACATTTTAATTAATAAAGGGATAATATATAACTTCTTTTTACACCATATGTTTGACATCGTTATTTCTTTCAAAATTCACTATAAATTCATAAGACATCTTAAAAATATTTTGTAAAGTATTATGAACACATAAACACTTAAAATTTCACCTTATAACATCAAATTCACTAAAATACTAAAGCAAAAATTTGTATGTTATATGTTAAATAACCTAATTAAAATAATATACCCATATTATCAAATACAAGTATGTTTTTATTTTTATTTTTAATAAGCACTTATTTATTTGATATATAATAAATTTACTTAAACCCTCTAAGGCTCCATCTAGGCGCAAATGGGTAGGTTCCAGGCCATCGCCTGATTAGAGCCTAACATATATTGATTAGCACCACCTGATGTTAGAATCCTAAATCAGGCACTGTCGGTCTAGTCGGAGCCTTCCGTAGAGCAAAGGAACAGTGTTTGGCTTGTCTGTTTGTTTTGAATGGGTGTCATTTTTGGATAACAAGTGGTTGGATTGGATGGAAAATCATGGCAGGTTAAAAAGTAGTTGATGCAACGTTGGATGGTCAGTTTGAGCGTCGGATAGCGATAAGGTCGGCTGTCGGTCATCGTTCCTGTCCAACAAAATAATATCCCACATTTATCATGTGGAAAGGAAGATTTGGTGGTTAGTGGTTACGTGTGCGTAGTATATTGCATGCTTAAGTTCTGGATAATTACATGTTATGTACAAAAAATACATGTTCTTATACTTACAAACGGAACCTTGAATGCAAGGGAGAATGTTTTTATCGAACAATGAACTAAGCTACAAATCCCTTATTGTATTTACAAGATTATCAAATCTAAAAACAAATTGAATCGTACTTAAGACGTTCCGTATACAAACCTCTTCAAACATGACTAATTGCCATCCAATAAAGGGAAACCATGGGCCATTTTCTTCTCCAATATGAGTTTTGCTCACGTCCCGAACGAATTCAAGAACATATTTAATGAAATTCTGACCGTCAGTAGGAATGGTTGACCCATATCAATTGAATTTTAGAAAAATACTCATACAAATTACTATTTGTTTCTACCATACCATCTAGTATTGTCATTGTTACGAATAAAGTTGCATTGTAATGCGGATTAATTTAATATAGATTAATATAGATCAATCTACAATAGTATCATCATATTCCTTTTCTATACTTAATAGCATGGCGATACATTTATACAAAAACTTCTCCTCCGCGCGCATGCAATGGAGACGTAGACAGTCAAGTGAAATCCAATCCACGAAATAAGAGGCAAGCAAAGCACGAAGAATAGTTTAAACGGTTGGAAACAACCACCCCATTGTCCATCCGAGGAGCAAACCCGCCCCGGCAAGACCCAATCCCACCGCGAATGCAACAACGCCCGTGTTAATTTCGTAGCTTCGTCTGCTGCCCCGTTTTCCGGCCCTGCGCTGGCCCTTCTTCATGTGCCTGCCTCTGTAAGGGGACCATGGTGGGTCTTTGTTGTCGAGCTGCAGGCAGAAGTTCTCGAGCTGCAGCAATTGCAACCACTGCTTGTAAGCAAGGAGTTGTGAGGCCTGCTTGAAAAACAGAGTGATTATGTGCTCCTTCTCTGTATAGGCTTGCTTTGCGGCTTTCTCTGCGTTCCTCGCTCGCGTTTGAGAGTGACACAAAGCTTCCAATAGCTCGGCTTTTGTTCGTTCGTCTTCTACATCGTTTTGGGTTTCAACCTCATCCCTGCTGAAACAGATTTACCAATTGAGATCACTGAATTTCCAAATGTTACTAAATGAATGAAAAGCATCATGAATGAAAAATATCAAGGCTCGCGGAGATAAATAAGGAAGGGAAGTGATTTTCGCACTCCCCTTTTCTCCCCGTGCCCTCCTCCTTTTTCTCTAGCCTTTAGATCGAATAAATCAAAGAATCAAGTAACATAAACAACGGGATGACAGCAGAAGGAGATAACGGGAGTGTGAAAACCACCACCCAGAAAGAAACATGGCATATTACTCTACTTATGGGGGAAACAGGCAGACATTTGTAATGAACCGATAATCGAGCATAATTTCGCTAAGTTAACACCTTCGTCCCTTTTCCTTCTCCTCAATCTAGAGCTTCAGTTGATGAAATCTCCACACACACAGGAAAAATATGATAACATGAAGGAAGCTAATAGACCATTTGCACGTTGATCCTCGACCTGCATGAAACTTAAGACATAAAGTTCTTTCGTTGTTTTTGAAATTTATTTTTGCTGCATGAATACCAGATGATAGTGGCCAGCTGCCAAAATAACTATAAGGTAAAAGATACAAACCTTCTAGGACTGCCTGACTCATGTGTTGAGTAAGTTGAAGTAAAGCTCGCCCATGTATAAGTGTCCATATTGGAGAAACCCATTTCAGCCATCTGATCCATAGCTGAATTAGGATCGAAAGCTGAGGGGCCCTTCCTACGATGCTTAATCTGTGGCCGCGGGAGATCACAATTCTCGATATGTTCAAGTGACTTCTGAGCAACCAAGGAAGACAACTCATCTTGACCTGCAGAGCGCCACCATGGTTCATTTTTCTGGGTTCCCACCCACTGGGATTCCAAACTGGAAGACATTTTCTTGGGTTCCCCAGAGCTCAAGCAGTTCGAAGAATCCAATTTCATGAGATGATCATCTGAGTACCTAAACTCGCCCGGGTCCTTTTTCTTAGGAACTTGTGGATCATTCCCAATTCCAGCCTTGCGCTCATGCATTCCCTTATTCTGGTCACTTCTTGTATGAGTGACACAAACCTCGAGCGGCTGCTCCACAAAAGAATTAGCACTATTCTTTATGTCATTTTGAGTACTCAAAACCCCGTTGCACTGATAATAGTCGCTTATAATGGGAGTTCTATGAACAAATCCGGAATTCAAAACTTCAAGTTCAGCTTCCAGAACTTTTAGCTGTTCGTAAGTAAACTCCTCCTGAGGCCCACAGTTGGGTTCCAGGTTCAACCACCACTTGGTGTTGGGTGCTAGTTCAGGACTTGGGTTACAAGGCATGCAATCTGGTTTGATGTTCTCAGGTGCAATATCAGATTCTGCTTTCGAGGAAGATGACGACGGGTAGGAAGAAAATCTTGGAGCGCTCCTCGCGTCTTCTTGGACAAAACAACAGTTTGCTCTACAATGGCATGCAGTCTGTGCTCCTGCTTCTGCCATACCTTGTCTATCTGTAATCAATTTTACAACGAAAAAGTACACTCGGTGAGGCAGGAATTTGAGCTTTTAATTTGTCTAACGCAGAAAGGCAGGAACATATAAAGCAGAAACAAAGACGCAAATTCAGACGATCTTACATAGAGGTGCAACAAAATTAGCAATACAACCTCATAGAGACACGGAGGACACAAATGATTGATGCTTTTGACATAATTTCAAGACTCAAACTAGTAGTACAACTACAAGTAAAACCAAAACAAACATCAAGTCAATTATATTCCGTGTTTTAACTTTTAACTGGAAATCTAAGCACTCGTGGTCGTGGGCATGGCAACATTGGCTAGAGCCTAGAGGCTATGCACCTTAATTCGAGTCCCCCTACCGCAATTTAGATTAGTTTAAAGTAGAATATCGCTCGTAAAAATTAGGAATCTAAAATCAAACCAGATGCTTTTCGTTACAGTAAACAATATCAGGAGCTTTTCGTTAAAGTTCCATTATATAATTGCATAATCTACGATAATTTAGTACACACACTGAAGACCTAATCAAAATTGACATATACCAAGCTAGTTCATGCTAATATATTCTGTAAGTGGAAATTGGTCTCGGATTCATACAGAAACGCCAATTTTTTTATAAAAAGATAGAAAATTTACACAAACAGAGCAAAACCCAACTCAAATCACTCCACAAAATTGAAAAAAAATCAAACAGCAACTAGAAAATCCCAGTAAAAAAACCACAGATTGAGCAATAAAGCATTGAACTTTCATCTGAAAACTTTGAAAACAAAGAGAAAAATACCTTAAAAAGGAGATGGGAATACAGGGTTTGACATACGTTTTCTGAGATCCGGAAAAGAAGATGCAGACGACAGAGAGACCTCCTCCACCTCCTTTCTTGCGTCCTACATCACCGTCGCTTGCTTGCTAGCTATAATATTGCAAGTCGGTAATATCCGTTTACAACTTGTGTACAAATAAATACCAGACTTTGAGACTTTGCGATTTCTTTTTGTGCTGAATGGAGTAGTACGTTGTACTGAAGAGGGTTGTACCGCGATGTGGAAAATGTACCAGGTCCTAATTTTGGTGGGAAATTACACGTTCGTTGCCTCGTTGGTGGGAAATTGACTTAGTTATCGTTATCCTTACATTTTGTGTCAATTACACAATCTCAAGTAATTAAAAATTAATATTTAATATTATATAATTAGCACGAGATGTTATGTAGTGATGCTTATACCGTCACCAACACATTCTGTGTCACTCATAATTGCTACGTAAAACCATCACTGGTGATTCAATGATTGATGACGAATTTTAGATCCGTAGTTCACACGCCACGTGTTGGTTCGATTTCTGATGCTGGTGAATAGCACGATGGTGGCCAGAGAAGATTGAAATGCTTTTGTGACTCTTCTTGGTCTTCGAAATTATAGACTGTCGTGACAAAGCCACAAGTTTGTTTTTTATTTAAAGAAAAGAATAATTGCTATGTAAAAGGAAACTAACATTTAATAGTGTATAATTGACACGAAATGATATGTAACTGTTACCAATAACATGTACGTTTCTCTGCATCCATTTCTTGAAAGTTTGGGATGTATTTTAGCAAATTGGTAATTTACACATGGGGCCAAGGTGATGTCACCAATTTTCCTTTTGCGGAAAGGGAGCGGATCTCTTTCACCTAATCCTACTCATCAAACAATTCGGGCCTTTGAAATTTGATCCAACGGTTACAAACAGGGGCTACTCTAAAAGTTATAATAACTTTAGCCGTTGGATCAAATTTCAAGGACCCAGATTGTTTGACGAGGAGGATTAGGTGAAAGGGATCCGGAGATGATCATTTTCCTCGCAGAAATAGACATGAAGAAAAGAACCCACCATCTACCGGACATGTCATTAGTAATGCGGGTTACATAAGTTGATTGAGAGTAGTGTGCTCGCCCATTGCATTTAGATTGATTCTCACTTCCCGTAGATTGGAGTATGGTTGGGTCAACTAATTAAGCATAATATAGTCACTCCTTGCAGTCAAATTCAAATAGCCCTTCTCATAAATTTGAGTATGATTAGTTGTTCTCTCAAAAGTGGGACTCTTCATGAATTGTGCCACCTCTTATTATACACAATATTTTATAATGTTGGTACGAAAATTGACGTTAAATTGTACTTTTAACTGAGTTTATAGAGAGTCTTACTCTCACTTCCTTTCGTAACTCACTCACTATCAACACCCAAATTATTGTTGTCTGACTTCACGAACGATGCCCGCCGGAACTATCGGTGCCAACAAAATTAAAGTTTAGATTATGAAGATTACTGAACGAATTAAGCTTAATCACAAGACGTAATTAAGTTGAATCCGCTGCTTAAATTTCAATCGAAGTGCAGACAATCTATTCTGCAGAGGGAAAACGTTGTTTTTCCTCCCTAGTTTGTTCAAATAGAATACAATTTTTTTCAAGGTGATCGTTACCTCCTCGCTCTCGGGACCGAACTCTTTCTCATGGATGCTCAAAACCCTCTTCAGGGGACCGAGTAACGATTCGTCGTCCTTCGTTAATCTGGTTTGAATGACACCAAACAGTCGAGAGCCTCCACTGTCAAATACATCATTCATAACTCATCAGACGAAGAACAAATGTGAAATGACACTCTAATTTATTTGAGCTTAAAGAAAACGACAACATACCAACGGGAAGGGAGTCCCTTTCCAAATGGTTTTTCACGAATGCGCAAAGCCTCCAGGGCAAGCTGTTCAGCTTCTTCATCCCGTTTCAAATGGTAGAGTGTAACTGCGAGGTGCAGCATTGGAAACGAGATGGATTGTTCATCAGGCCCACTGTCTTTGCCAAGATCTGCAAACTTGCCCTCAGCAAGCGCTCAGCCTCCACATAATTCTTTGAGCGTGAATGCGAAGTTGCAAGATTAATAAGGTGTGTCGCTGAGCTCGGGTCCTCTTTACCTTTATATCTTTCTGTGATCATCAGACATTCCTCCAGCAGCTCTCGGCCTTCCTTTCCTCTGCAAGCACCTGTCAAATTCATATGCTAAAAGAGAGAGAAACTGTAGGTTTTCCGATTAGAAAAAATTAAGACGCCTGCCGAGTGTACCCGTCAACATCTAGTCAGAGTAATAACTAAACAACCGCCACTATCATACAACGGCAGCACAATCTGCTTTCCAGAAACTTATGAAATTAGCTTTGAATAATCGCAATGGTCAATTAACTCTACCTTCCAACAGCATGAAGTAACCCTGCCAAATCTATCCTCATCTTATCCATTATGCTGTCATCTAAGGCCATATAATTGGAAGACATGATCACTTCGAGAGCTTTTCTATATAAAGAGATGGCTTCATTTGCATTTCCTGTAACGAATTAGAGCCTTGAAACTGAGAAGCTATTGAGAGAGAGAGAGAGAGAGAGATCAACACACACGCACACACAGACAGACAGATTGCACACTTCACACGGGCCAGGGAGCACATAGCCATTCCAACTCGTCCATCATTTTCTCCATAATTTTTTGAATATGTTCAAAACTCTGAAAAACGACAAGAGAGAATGAAAGTGATCAAACTAAACCGGCTAACAACCAGTCAGTGCACAAGGAGCAAAGAAATCCATTCTATAAAGAAGGGGAAAGCAATTAAACCTTAGAAAAGGAGTTTCTGCCTCGGTAGACTTTCATTCTTTAAGAGCAACTCCACCTTTAAAAAATGAGCTGCCCTAAAATCCATTTAATCTACCCAAATGAATAGTAATTGACTGCAATGAATAATAATTGGCCAAGTGCATCTCCACCCTTAAAACTAAATAACCCAGTCCATTTTATTAAAATATTAATTTTTTTATTATAAAATAATAATAAAATAATTATTTTATTTGTTATAAATAGGCAAAAATTAGAAAGATAACATTTACTAGGGACAGGCGAGAAGTGGGTGCAAAATATCACACTATTTAATTTCGTAACTATAACACAAAAATATTGCAGGAAAAAGAGGAAATGAGGGATACTTGTTGTAAAATTGTGAGAATGAACGCTCACAGTAGTGTAATTGTTGTTATGTGATGTTTTCAAAAGAGCAATAGTAGTGTAATTGTTGTTGTGTGAAGTTTTAAAAAAGAGCAATCATTTCACTTTTGGTTTGTTACAGATGTGACTCTATATAAAGAGCACTCCATGTGTGATTACAATACACAACAAAGAAAAGAAGTGAAAGCAATAATATCAGTATCACTCCCTTCCTCTTTTTCCTGCAATCTTTTTGTATTATTGTTACGAAACTAAATAATGTGATATTTTGTACCTGCTTCTATCATGTCCCCAGCAAAGGTTATCTCTCTAACTTTTACCTATTTATAACACGTTATCAGCACGATTATCTAACATTAACCAATTCTCATCTCCTTTCGCTGAAAAATGCTTCCTTCAAGGATTTTACTATTCTTCTTCCTTCTTTGCCTCACTGGCTTGATGTACCCTCGCCAAGATTTGCTAGCACCATGCATGCTCCTAGTTCTCAATATAACAATTACTTATATTTTTATTTCTTGTTTGGTGTAACTCTTGACTACTAACCCAGTGTTTATGTTAATTTTACTGCGATCAACGATGGTGCAGTACAATCGCCCATCTTGAACTGCAAATTTAATTTTACTGCAATTTTAGGTGGTGCGATATAATCGTCCACCCTGCATTGCAAATTTAAATTTTCCTACTGCTTGATTGGTGCGGTATAATCGCTCATCCTATGCTATATTGTTTCAATGAGAATGGTGCAGTACAATTGCTCTTCTCATTAATCATGTAAATCTCGAGAATGAAGTTTGAGTGCTTATCATTTTGACCTGAAGATCAAAATGAAAAATTTGTAAGAACTAGAAGTTCTAACACTACATTTCTCCTTAATACATATTATTGCAAGTTCTTACAAATCTCATTTTTCTTTCAGAAAAGAAAATTGCGAACTTGGCAAAACTTTATTTTGTTGCCCTGGATATTACTCGGAATAACTACCTTACCTGGGTAGTGGATACCAAGATCTATCTAGAGGCAGGAAATCTTGGAGAAACTATCAAGGAGGAAAACAATGCATTCTCTCAAGATCGGGCAAATACCATGATCTTTATCCGTCGCCACCTTGATGAAGGATTGAAGAACACGTACCTAACGGTTGAAGATCCATTAGCCTTCTGAAAGGCATTGAGAAATAGATACAATCACCAGAAAACGGTGATTCTTCCAATGACTCGTTATAAATGGACACACCTAAGGATCCAAGATTTCAAGTCAGTTGCTGAGTACAACTCTGCAATATTCATTATTAGCTCATAGATGAAGCTTTATAGGGAGACCATCACTAAGGAAGATATGTTGGAAAAGACTTTCAGCACCCTTCATGCCTCCAACGTGCTCCTGCAGCAGCACTATAGAAATCAATGCTTTACTGAGTACAACCAGCTAATATCGATGCTCTTTGTGGCTGAACAAAACAATGAGCTCCTGATGAAAAATCATCAGTCCCGACCTACTGGATTGGCGTCATTCCCAGAAATGAATGTTGCTTCCCTTGAAGTGAATACCACATCCTCTCGTGGCAATAATTACAAACGAGAATGTGGCCACATGCAAGGCCGATGGAATGGAAAAGGCAAGAATCATGTTGTCCAGTTTTACAACTAGGGTCCAAGGCATAATTTAGGCCTGAGCTTCAAAAATGTAAATCGCCACAAAGGTAAAGCTCATATGAATAACACTCCTAGAAATCCTAAAGGAGTTTTGCCATAGGTGTGGTGGCAATGGGCATTGGGCACGTACATGTCATACCCCAAAACATCTAGTAGACCTGTATCAAGCCTCCCTCAAGGAGAATGGTGTCAAAACCAATTTCCTTGACCAGCCTAAACCAATGGATATACCTGATCCAGTGTGCAATTTATTAGGGCAACTGAACACAACCTACCTGGATGTCTCAGACTTCATTGTGGAAAGAGGGAATGAAATGTATCGGTTTTATTGAATCATTTATGTTTGATGTACTCTTATTATCTGAAGAATAAGAGATGATATCTAGCCCTGCTTTGTTGATGAATGCAAACAGAGACAAGATTAGCCTAAGTGGAAAGATGCAATCCAAACAGAATTAAATTCCTTAGAAAGATGAAGTGTTTTTAGACCGGTAATCCAAATCCCGATTGGTGTGAACCCTGTGGATTACAAATGGATATTCACAAGAAAGCGCAATGAAAAAAATGAAATTGCAAGATATAAAGCATGACTTGTTGCACAAGGTTTTTCACAAAGACCTGGAATTGATTATGAAGAGACATACTCTCCTGTAATGGATGCAATTACGTTCTGTTACTTAATAAGATTGGTGGTTTCAGAAAAACTTGACATGCAACTTATGGATGTCATCACCGCGTATCTATATGGAGAATTATATACTGACATATATATGAAGGTCCCAGAAGGACTTAAGTTGCCTGAAACGACTAATAAATCATAAGGTATGCTCTCAATCAAATTAAGGCGATCGTTATATAGGCTGAAACAATCTGGATGAATGTGGTAGAATCGTCTCAGTGAGTATTTGATCAAAGAGGATATACCAACAATGTCATTTGCCCTTATGTGTTCATTAAGAAATCAAATTCTGGATTTGCTGTAGTGGTAGTATATGTCGACGACAAGAATTTAGTTGGAATCCTTGAAAAGCTGAATATTGAAAAGCAATTTTGAAATGAAATACCTTGTTGTGTGAAGTTTTCAAAAAGAGCAATCATTTTACTTTTGATTTGTCACGGATGTGACTCTATATAAAGAGCATTCCGTGTGTGATTACAATACACATCAAAGAAAAAAAATGAAAGCAATAATATGAGTACATCAAATAGAAATGATTCAATCGAATCACTACACTTCATTCATTCTTTCCACAATGAAGTTTGAGATATCGAGGTGGGTTATGTACAATTGCCCTGATAAATCGCACACTGGATCAAGTACATCCATTGGTTTAGCCTAGTCAAGGAAATTGGTTTTAACACCCTTCTCCTTGAGGGAGGCTTGATACAAGTCCACCAGATGTTTTGGGGTACGACAAATATGCGTCTAATGCTCATTGTCACCATACCTATGGCAGACTCCTTCAGAATTTCTAGGAGTGTTATTCATATGAGTTTTAACTTTGTAACGATTTACATTTTTGAAATTCGAACCTGAATTATGACTTAGACTTTGGTACTAAAACTGGACACCATGATTATTACCTTTCTCGTTCCACCAGCTTCGTCTATGGCCACGTCGTCGTTTGTAATTATTGCCACGAAAGGATGTGATATTCACTTCAAGGGAAGCATCATTCACTTTTAGGAATAACATCGATCCAGTAGGTCGAGATTGATGATTTTTCATCAGAAGCTCATTGTTTTGTTCAGTCACGAAGAGCATCGATATCAGCTGGTTTACTCAAAAGTCTCGCTCCCTATATTGCTGTTGCAGGAGCACGTTGGAGGCATGAAAGGTGCTGAAAGTCTTTTCCAGCATATATTTCTCAGTAATGGTCTCCATGCAAAGCTTCATCTGGGAGCTAATTTTGAACATTGCAAAGTTGTACTCAGCAACCGACTTGAAATCCTGATATTTAGGTGTGTCCACTCATAACGAGCCCTTGGAAGAATCACTATTTTCTGGTGATTGTATCTATTTCTCAATGCCTTCCAGAGGGCAAATAGATCTTCAACCGTTAGGTAATCGCTTTTCAATCCTTCATCAAGGTGGGGACAAATAAAGATTATGGTCTTTGCCCGATCTTGAGAAGATGTACTATATTCCTCCTTGATAGTTTCTTCAAGATTCCCTGCCTCCAGATGAATCTTGGTATCCACTACCCAGGTAAGGTAGTTTTTCCCAGCAATATCCAAGGCAACAAAATAAAACTTTACCAAGTTCGCCATTTTCTTTTCTGAAAGAAAAATGATATGAGAAAGAACTTGCAATAATGTATTATGGAGGAATGTAGTGTTAAAACTTCTAGTTCTTACAAATTTTTCATTTTGATCTTCAGTGCAAAATAATAAGCACTCGAAACTTCAGGCTCGAGATTTACATGATTAATAAGGAAGCAATTGTACCGCACCGCTCTCATTGAAACAATATAACATCAGGTGGGCGATTATACCGCACCACTGAAGCAGTAGGAAAATTTAAATATGCAGTGCAAGGTGGACGATTATACTGCACCACCTCAAATTGCAGTAAAATTAAATCTGCAGTTCAAGATGGGCGATTGTACCGCACCATATTTGATCACAGTAAAATTAACATAAATAAACACTGGGTTAGTAGTCATGAGCTACACCAAACAAGAAATAAAAAATATAAGTAATTGTTATATTGAGAACTAGGAGCAATCATAGTGCTAGCAGATCTTGGCAAGGGTACATCAAGCAGGTGCGGCAAAGGAGGAAGAAGAACAATAAAATCCTTAGAGGAAGCATTTTTCGGTGAAGGGAGATGAGAACTGGTTAAGGTTAGAGAGTCGTGCTGATAACATGTTATAAATAGGCAAAAATTATAAATATAACCTTATCTAAGGACAGAGAGAAGGGATGCAAAATATCACACTGTTTAGTTTTGTAATGTTAACACAAAAAAAATTTAGGAAAAAGAGGAATGGATGGATACTGATATTATTGCTTTCACTTCTTTTCTTTGTTGTGTATTGTAGTCACACATGAAATGCTCTTTATATAGAGCCACATTCGTGACAAACCAAAAGTGCAATGATTGCTCTTTTTTAAAACTTCCCACAACAACACATTATCGTTCTTTTGAAAATATTACATAACAACAATTACACTACTATGGGCATTCATTCTCACAATTTTACAACATTATTTTTATTTTAATTTTTGGCATTTTCTTTATTTATAAAAAAAATATCATTAATTTCTGACATTTTATCTTCTTTTGTTAAGTTTTTTTGCCAAAATCTAGACCGTTGATCTGAAAATCAAACGGTCCAGATTGTGCCGTGTCACTAACCGTTGGGTTTGAATTTCAAATTTTTTTGACCATTGGAAATCCAACAGCCAAGGCTTAGCCACGTGGCCCATGTCCTGCGTCCCTTTAGTGTGCCTGCAACGCAGGCCCGGCGCTTGTCACCTTGTCAGGGATGCGCGCCCACACGCCTAACGCAAAAAAAATTTATGTTGTCCACTGACGTCATGCTATGACGTCAGATAGGCCGGTTCCTACCTCAACCCATTTTGGGCCGGCTTACAACCTAACTTGGACTTTGGGCTGGCCTATTTTTAGGGTTGGAGGGGTTTTTTTGGGTGCCAGCCTATTTTTTTAGGCTTTGGGCCCGTCTCTAAAGGAGGGGTGGACTTGCTCAAGATTGCCGAGGCCAAATAAAGGTACGACCAAATCTCTGCTTGATTCTAGAAGAGTTATTGCACAATTGTAGGATTCTACTGCTTTTGAAGTTCTTCTGATGGAGCTGAGAACTTTTGCCATGCCCAAAATTGGCATGGTAAGAAAAACACTATTTTTCCCTGAAGAAAAGATGGCAATAACCACTCAACAAACACACAAAAAAAACCCCAATCTTGCAGGCAGCAATCAGTGAAGCCACAATGGAATCGTGCAAAGTCACATACATCATGACTTCATTTTGTGTTAGATTATGCCCACTAAATAATACTCATGCACAACATTATTGTAATGCATTTTAAGGAGATCGAGTAATTTGACCACCAAGTATCATTCACCAAAGAAGACGTATAACCCAATTCGGAACAGCCAACTGAGTTACGAGTAGTAAAAGCTCCAAATTGACAAGAGAGCTTACCGTATCTGTTCTCCATGTTACTGACAGCCCTCCTGTACGCAGACATTGATTTCTCAAACTTCCCCAGAGTTGAATACATGCTCCCCATGTGCACGAGGACTGAATCCAGAAGCGGTTCACCATCCTTCACACTGTCAACAACTTCATTCAACTGGTCGTCCATTAAAATGCACCAACAAAAAGGAGAGCAATTACAGCTTACAGAGGGCAATGGGAGAGAAAAACTATACATGCTTTCCCTAGAGAAGGAAAAAAGAAATTACTATAGCCAGTAGCCAATAGCCATGTATCCTAGAGCTGTGATGTCAATGGTGGCAGCTTTTTCAATGCCTCTAACGCCGGCATTCATCCTTTCCTTCACAGAATCACAGCCTCATAATTGGCTTGAAGTAGGTCTATACCATCATTTTTGTTCCCCATCATAATCAACCTTTTGACTTCATCAAGTAACTCTTGCAACTCTCTCTCAAAACTTTTCATCCCATCCAATCTATTACTTGATTGCTTAAAAGAAGTTCTGAACCTGCTAATCATTAAAACTGGTTTAGGGTCATTGACTCATCATTTTGAGATGAAACTAAGCGCTCATTCGGTGCCTAGGATTGGATTTGATTGGATAACTCACTAGATTCAATGTATGTCATCGAAGAAATGAATATTTTTTTCTGAGTTGAAGGTAGAAGATGGATTACTCGTGAAGTAATCTTACCACTTTGAGTTCTCACAAAATGGTAGGATATCAACACCTCATAACTTATCCCCTCCAATTCCTACACAATGAAAAACCTTTCATTTCTTACTTCGAAATACATGGTAATTCTTACGAGTTATTCAATCGAATTCATTCCTAAGCATCAAACGAGCCCTTAATATTTTAGAAACTGCAGTTAGCAAAATCAATAGAAAAGAAACCAAATCAAAAGAACTGCAAAGTTTTTCACCCTTGAAAGTGCTTTTCTTGGGCTGCCAGGTTTCTATCCAATGAGCCAACAGAAGCAAAAGTTCTGCTGGAGGTCCAGCAGAGGGCAAAGGCTCTAACAGGTACCATGAAAAGCTTGATGCTGCAATTCTCTTTCGGGAGGCAAACAGAGAAGGCGTTGCTGCCTTTTTACAAATGGGCAGACTGCATCATGTGATGCAAGCACACTTTGCTCATCCTGGATTGTTCAAAGCAAAATCATTAGTGTGTAAGAGCCCACTACTTGTATTGTATGAACAACTCAAACCCCAACAAATTCAAATATGTAAAAACCATTCTTTTCAAATATTTTGGAAATTTTTTTGCCAAAAATCCAACCTTCGGTAAATCAAACCAGCGAATCATAAATCAATACAAATTAAAACTGAAATATATGGAAATTCTGAAGAGCGAGAGAGAGAGAGAGTACCCATTTTTTTGGAGAAGGGAGGAGAGAGAAGAAGGTCAGCTGCCATTAGTGGTGGTGGAGGACGAGTTGCAGAAGAGGGTGAGAGCGGAAAGCTGGCCGAGCTGTCCAAAGCGGTTAAAGATAACGAGAATGGTGGACGCTGAAGTGAGCGAGTTCGGGTTGGTTTGGGTCGGGTGACTCGGCTCGTCAGCCCATATTATTTATTTGTGAAAAAAAAAAAACGAAACCCATATCCCTGACCGGGCCCTTTTCTTTTGGGCCCTCACTCTAAGTAGTCCATTCGTAAAACCTTATTTTTATGGTAACCCCTATCAAAATTGGGAGGGTTTTCTTGTCAAAATGGTCTTTGAGATTGACATAACTCCTCATTTGGTTTCTAACAAAGAAAATAGAGGAAGTGGTTCATGAGTTTGTCACTGTAAATCATTTTGGTCATTCTGTAAACATTTTGTCAATATCCTCTTGAAGTGGAGGGATGAGTTTGACAAAAATACATTTAAAAAGATGATCACGTAGTCGTTTACGTAACAATTTAACAAGGATATTAATTTTCACGTAATGACCTAAATAATTTACGGTGGACTAACTAGGGAATTACTTCTCTCGATTTTCATTGTCACAGACCAAAAAGAGGATTTATGTCAATCTCAGAAAGTGGCTAAAAGGCCAATTGAGAGCTATGTCTAGGCACGATGGTAATAAACGTATAACAAAATTGCAAAACACAATGATTTACATAAAACAGGTTCACCAACCACTAATACAACGTCACATGTTAGACTGCCTTTGTATAGTGACCCAAGACACCACAACGACGGTAAACCTATTCTATATAAAGTCGATTGTCGTATATATCATGTCCATATAATCTGGAGGACGGAGGAACCATCTGTTAATTGAAAAGTGGTTTTGGCATCAAAACTGTATGACATAGAAACAAGCATTTCCACCAGGGTTACTACAAGTCTAATACTACAGATAGAATGTCTTCAATTTTACCAAAAACATCAGAAAATACAACAATTATCCCACAAAAAACATAACGTTGAGCCCCACGAAGTTCTGAGAGGCCGGAATTGAAAGGAACGGTGTGCAGTGTTTATGCAGCTCGGATTTTAACTTTAAGAGTCCATTGAACCTTCCCCGGCGGCAAAGGGATGGACTTAGGAAGGCGCAGTGTCACCTCATACTCTCCCACAGTCAACAAAGGAGATGGGAGATGGACGTTTTCGGGTAGGATTTGCACGGAAAGCTGCCTTGCCACCTAAACCAAAATACACTGTATCAGCTAAAAGGAAAGAGAGAAAATTTGAAGGAAGCTTGAATCCATAAAGAACAAGCCATATACCTCGGTCACTATATCCTCGGTTGTCACGGGGGATTTCAATTCTATAGGGTCCTCTTTTGTTGCACGCGAACGGAACTTTTTAAGATCGATGGGCCTCCGCAATACCTGTAAAAGTTTGTAAAGTTCAGATCACCCCTATATGTAAAGCTAAAGGTTTAAGTTCTTGTATGCATCAGAGATTCAACCAGCTTTCGAAATTATAGTTTCACATCCCACTTTAAGAAAAGAGCTTAACTACATTAAGAAATCGAGATCAACGACAAATTTGAACGAATTCCAGTTCATACTTCTAACAAGCATTGTATACTATATCAAGCATTCTATTAGACTATAAAAAACAACCACATTAGTGAACATGAGCCGGCATATGCGTCCCTCTATGCTTCAATCAACAATTAAAATATATAGAAAGAGGTTACGAACCAGACGAGCATTATCCAGGATTTTCGCAGCCTTTTGATATGCTTTCTGCTTAGCTTCCTCAGACACCGCAGCAACTACTTTAACCTCCTCAACCTCTTCCTCTACTTCAAGCAGGGAGTTCTGAAAAACATCCGCGACAAGCGTTACAAAATCAAACGAAACAATGGCAACAGACGAACATTTATAACACAATCCATCCAAGAACAAAGTAAAGAACCTTGCGATGCTCTTTGATGAGATACGCATACTTGTCAATGTTTGGGACAGCAAGCAATTTCGGCATCAAGTGGTTGCGAAAATACCCCGGCGCAACCTTCACCGTCTCACCGGCTTTACCGAGCTTATCCACGCTCTAAATTCATCAAATTAATCCCACTAATCAAATTTAATCATTCACTAAACAAAATCCACCACTAATTACTGAGTTTATGGAGAAATGCGCACCGTCGTTAGGATAACCTCCAAATGTCGGAATCGAACTCCTTGAGAAGCATATATCAGCGGATTCATCATCCGATCCGAACCGCCGGAGCTGTGGATATTGGTGTCTTTAACGATTTGACGGAGGACATTTCTGCCATTTCGCAAATACGCCATTCCCAAGCTTCTTCTTCCAACCTAATTCAAAGCATTTAATCGGAAACCGTACAGAAGAGAAAATCAATTTTGAAATTATTTTCCTTCGGTTTCTCGGAAACCAAACTGCGATGCGTAATTAATTTCACGGTGATGAAAAGAAAAACAATGATAATTAGTATTTCGAGAGAAGAGTACGTACCGGCTACGGCGTTCGAGTAGCGAGATGCGGCGGCAACGACGGTGGCGAGTGGGAAGGGAGAGAGGGGTTTAGGGTTTTGGTGCGACGGGGTTGAAAGTCACAGTGGAAGAGTGAAAATTGAAAGAAAGGGCCGAAGGGGGAGAGGGATTCAGAATCAGGGGTTTAAAGCCAATTGTCTAAAACACCCCTGAAAATGAAACGAATTTGCACTCTCACAAAGGAAGCATCCAAAGGTCATCTCCAACCGACCCAGCCAAAGTGCCATAGAGCTAAAAATAGCTTGGAATTACACAAAAACCGTCTCCAATTGAGGGCTAAGCCAAAGGGCTTGTGGGCTCCATCGGGCCCAAACCCCCAAATCAGTCCAACGGGCTGGCCATTTCCAACCAGCCAGCCAGCCATTTGCCCAGCTCTCCAACGCCATAATGTCAAGCTTGACATTTTGCCAACCCTCCAGCTCCAGAATATCAAGCTTGACATTTTGCCAGCCGTCAAGCTTTAAACTTAACATTTTGCCGGCCTTCAAGCTTTAAACTTAAAATTTTGCCACCCAGCTAACCAAGCCTCTAGCTCCAGAATGTCAAGCTTGACATTTTGCCAACTCTCAAGCTCCAGAATGTCAAGCTTGACATTTTCCAACCGTCCAACTCAGCCCATTTGAATGTCAACGGCTACTTGGCATCAGAATGATGCTAGCTAGCAATAGCTAGCTAACGTTATGTTGCCGTCAAGTTACCATTCGAATTTGATTTTTTTTTTTTTACGAATTTAAAATTTTCCATTCAATTACATCTCGACATGTGGCACTCGAAATTCTATCTGAAAAATTATTAAGATTACATAAAGATAAGAAATATGGAGAGTTACTCACTTTAGCGACACGTATCACTCGAAATCCAATCCAAAAAATTATTGAGATTATATAAAGATAAGAAATCTGGAGGCTTATTCATTTGGCAACAAGTGACACTCAAAATATGTCTGAAAATATTATTTTAATATGGTAGTTTAATTTAATTAACCATATTAATATAACTAAAGGGGTGTGATATCCGCACACCCCTTTTTACTTCTTCTATACCTTTTTGGTTTTCGACCGTCGGATCGGATGAATTGAAGAAGATCAACATACATAAATTAACAAAGGGTGTGTGAGAAGTAAAAAGGGGTGTGTGGATAGCACACCCCTTAACTAAAATAATAAATTATGTTTGGCTATGTCCTTTTGGCCCCTTCGGTTGGAGATGGTTTTTTGTCAAAGGGTTATGTTTGGCCTATGACCTTTTCACCCCTTCGGTTGGAGATGATATAAAATAAGGAAAACTAATGAAAATGACTTGAAAAGTTTGAGTTTTAACGAAAATGAAAAAATAAAGGGTAAAGTGAATAGTATCAAGATTGACTTTTTAGTGTAAAAATGTGGTTTTCATTAAAGTAAACAATACCGGAAGCTTTTCGTTAAAGTTTCCTATAAAATATGGCCTAGTATTGTTCATTAAAATATAATTTCTTGCAAAGCTATAGGGCTAAAAGGAGCCTTTTGGCCCTTCGATTGGAGATGGCCTAACTCTGAAAAATTTACACAGATGTTGCTCTTATCACATTTTTCATACCACAGTTGTACCGGCATCCTAATAAAAGTAGAACCCACATGTGTTGGCAGACTTTACATTTTTTCAATACTGTAGTTAAGCATTGCATAAAACTTTAAAATTTTAACAATGTTTTTTTTTTCTCTAATAAAAGCTTATGAGCATAAGTGCTTACGATTCTTTTGTGTATTCCTCTAAGGGCACGTTTGTTTGACAGGATTAAGAAGGATTGGACTGGACTAGACTATAGTCCTTTGTTTGGTGTGCATCCGGATTAGCTTTAATGAGCTTAACCCGGACTCGCTTGGATTAACTACCTCCTTAGCCGTTCTTAACGAGCAACCCCAATTTCGGCCGGATTCGTAAGCCCTCTTCTGATAAAGAGAAAATCGCGAGAGTCAGTCGTCCAAGACCCAACGTCGCTCGTCCTGCTCGTCGCACATTGTTCCCTCTTTGCCCTGCTCCATCTTCTTCCTCGCTTCCACAACCATTTGCAAACCCACATCCCGCAAAATTCAAAACAAAAATAAAATATGCAGTTGTTCCATTTTTCAAATTCAGATCCAACCTACAAGCTTAAATCGAACCCAAAAAAAAAAATCGAACCCAGAAACCATAAAACACAAAATTAAATCGAACCCACAAGCTTAAATCGAACCCAGAAACCATAAAACACAAAAATCTACAAGCTTAAATCGAACTCAGAAACCATAAAACACAAAAAAAAAAAAAAAAAAAAAAATCTGCAGTGGGTATAAGCTTAAATCGACGATGGGATTGACTGAAGGCAAACCGAACCCAGAAAACATGAAACTCCTTGATTGCAGACCTTCTCCATCTCCCACTTTCGAGCCAATCGCACATGCAACCCAATCCCATCTCCTAAATTTTCTATCTCTTTCTTGCTTCGTCCCTCTCTTTCTTGCATTGTCGTTTGAACGGAGAACAAAAGAAGAAGATGGAGATGAAGAGGAAGAGGGACGAAGAAAAAAAGGGAGAGGAACGAAGTAAGATTAGGAAGAAAACAGAGGGAGAGGGGCGGAGAAAAGGCAGAAAGAGAGGATGAATGGAATTGGGATGGAAGAGGGGCGGAGATAAGGCAGAGTTAATAATAAAATATTACAAAATATTTATTAAATAATGTAAAATATTAATAAATATGAATTAAATAATATAATATTAAAATTTGTTATTAGTCTGTTTTTAGTACTGACACTGCACCAAACGTTTCATTAAACTAGTCCAGCTTAGTCTAGTCTAAGCCAGTCCAGTTTAGTCCCTGCAGCTAGTCCAGTCCGAGACAGTCCGGTGCAACAAACGCACCCTAAAAGACCACTCTAGACGGAGATACTCAAAAATTTGATGTAAAGAGATAGACACATTACTCTAACCAATCGGCCTTACTCATTTCTACAATAGAAATGTTTTGTATTTTTAGCTTATTAGCATTATAGAAAGATTCGAACTTGAGACCATAAACCCGAAGCAAGTCCAACAAGAACCAAAATCAATGGGTACGATGATGTATAAGCAATAGTGGACTAATAGGACCATTCACAAGGTCTACTTGGTGTTTAAAGGACAATGAGATTTGGTGGCCAAGTCACGGCAATCCACCCTTCCAATCTCTAGGCATACTAAATGAAGCATTTCATCCTTCCCTTGTCACTACCATGTAATTTACCAACACCAGAAATCGAACCCAAAACGAGTTGTGTTGAATATGGACCTGAAATTTGCTCCAACGACTGGGATACCCCCCTAGCGGTCAAGGACAATGAGAATTTGCAGTACACCAATAGTAGCAAAGATTATTTCAAAAGTGAGATACAGCTTAATTTGATTTGCAACACTTGAATATGCAAAAGTACAGCACCAGAAGCGTGATCATCGATCATCAACGCGAAACATACTACACACAAAGAAAAAAAATTGTGTTCCCACGTCTCAGATTCGTGCAGGAAAATCGAAATGTTGAGGAGAACGAGATCTAAAAACATTTTAAGATTACATTTACAGTGGATACATTCATATAAAACCGATGTGTGCCCAAACTATGGAGCAAAAAACTCCCTGCCTTGCAGGACAATACATCCAGAAGTGATCTGAATAGCAAAATATCCCGGCAGGACCGGCTCAAAATTTTAGCACCGATGTTGCTCCTGCTCGTCTAAGGGCCGTCTTCTTGTGCTGATGAAAAAGGAGGGTTTATGAGTCAAATTGTAGGGCGGGCGACCATCAGAAATGCAAGAACGAACGTAGGCAGACAGACAACATACACTTGGAGAGAGAGAGAGAGAGAGAGAGAGAGACTTACTGCTTAAAATAAAGCCCTGAAGCAAGCTCTGAGCTCTCTCGGCCTGCTCTGGAGTACCTGAAATTCGAATGATCTTCTGTGTTTCCTCCGGTCTATCCTCTACCAGGGTCACATTTGCTCCTGATAACTGTTCAGGTCGAAATAAAAGTCACAAAATACAGTTAATCATAGCTAAAGTCGGAAAACAAAGGCAGCAAATGACTAAAAGAGTTCATCAGGCTGACCTCACTGATCTGAGCAAGCTTGTTTCTTGATTTCGTTATGAGCTTTGAAACTGCCTGCTCTGGTATTACAACTTCAAGTATACTCCTAGTGACAAGCGTCACAGGCATTCTAACAGAAGATATAGAAAACATCAATAATATGAATTACTCAACATTGATTGGTAACAAATATAAAAAGAAAAATGTGTAGAAAGAGAGAGAGAGAGAGAGAGAGAGAGAGAGAGAGAGAGAGGTAGAGAGACTATGATTAATAAGAGGCCTAAATAGTTAAGCGGAGTAGAAATTAGCTACCTATTCAAAGAGCTCGGAGCATCTTCACGCCGTTCACTTTCGTATGGCTTTACTGTTTCATTGGCAATCCCTCCAGCATCCTACAATAGCAGTGAATGAAATAAGGATAGACTCAAGTACAACCATATAATGATTACTGAAGAGAACCAAAAATCTAAGGCGAAAAGAAACAGCTTAATGGATAGAGAAAGCAACCTTTGATGGCTGTGCAATTCCCCCAGTTTGCACATTCTGATACATTTTCATGGGAGGATCATTTCCAGTATGAGCTTCACGAACTGGAAATGTGTTATTCGGAGATGGGTCTATTGTGAAAGCACTACCTGCAGGGCCTGGTGCAAAAGCAGGTGGTGGTGTATCCTTTCGAAACAACTCTCTATATAAGTAACTCCGTATTCTTGATGTCATCTCAACAAGAGCATGTCGAGCTGCTTTTATTTCCCCTACAATCTGTATATGACAAGCAGGAGATATTCAGAATTGGCTAAATTGTAATTGATCCTCTCCGCCAGGTAGTCCGAGCCTTTATAACCTCGGGGATTTATTTTTCTTGACCATTTATTTTATTTTAGTGTTAGAAACAGTTCACCTGATAAATGACACTAAAAAATGTAGACGCCACATTCAAACACACACAGATATTGGATAGAAGCAAGCATTCACAAGATATTCTAGGCATTCACAAGATATTCTAGTCAAACATGATAGATTCATAATTGGATATGACCAGACCCTTTATCTCCTCCAGTAAAATTTTCACATATCACGGTTGACGATCACCCTATATCTAACTATATAAGGCCCGCTTAAAAAGGAGCCAATCATGTGATGTTTCAAAAGTACGAACTCGTCTTTAGTTTGCAAGTCCACTAAGATGGTATTCAGCCGAAAAGGTCGTAAAAGGTCGTACCCAGTGCACAAGGCTCCCGCTTTACGCAGGGTCTGGGAGAGGTGAATGTCGGCTAGTCTTACCCCCATTTATGGAGAGGCTGCTCCCAATAAGATGGTATTCAGCCAAACAAACAAAAAAGGTCTGCCAATGAAGCTTCTCAGATAACGAGAAGAAAGGCGCATAACAATAAATCTGGCATTTCCATGAAATTAGCAAGTAAAATGACAAACCTGTACAAGTACATCGTCCCCTGATACACACGTGGGAAGATCATCTATGGGAAGAATTTGTATATCTGCACCGGTAAGTCGCCTCATATCCATTAACAACCCTTCTCTTCCCTCCAACCATCCAATATCACTTGTTGGGACAAGTAGCCTAGTAGTTATAGTGTTCTCTTTGTCTGGACTAAGATCGACAATGCGAGTTTGAATATGCAACAAAGCTTCCTGAGCTGGAAACAGCTCGTCATCAGGACCCTATATACGCACATAAAACGGTCAACACCTTTCCACAAAAAAGATACAACAAAGGAGAGGGCGGGGGAGGATAAGCATGTCAAAAAGCCAACCATTACGATTAACATGTCCAGATTAGTTAGCAGTGTCACCAGCAACCAAGAGTGTATCATCACTTCAAATTAACACACAACAGAAGAAAATGCACCCTTACAAGATAAACAATAGAAAATTATGAAGTACCTCCTCAGAAGAGATTATGATTATCTGTTCATCTTCACCAACCACAGGGTTAGTAGCCTTGACATCCACACCAATTTCATTTTGAAGCAGTTCTATAATTCCGGTTGAATCTCCAACTATAAGATAAACTTTGTCAACTGGACAAAGTATTCGAAACACAAGGTCTTCACAAAAGGGCTGTGTATTATCAGCCATGGGAGCAGACCCATGTTCAATTGGATAACCCGATGAACGAGGGGCATAGTTGTTGTTTCTGATACTGGGGTTAGATAATCGTGGTCCAAAGGGAGCCCCATCCATGGGTGTCTTCCGTCCTGCATTGTTCATATGAGGAACATAATCATCATCAGGAGGAAAGAACCGTTCAGGTGAATGCATTCGCCCCTGGAAATGACTGCGATCCCGATGCTGACTCTCCCTCAAGCGTGATGAAATAATTGCCACAGCACTCTTTACATTATTCGGATCGCCTACTACCTGCAGCAGAAATGCAACATATGCTCAGAGGCATGCTAACTTAAAAGAGTTGCGTAAAGCCATTCGAGTCTCTTGCTAAAATGCAGCGACTACTAAAATCAATGGTTTACACTAAACAAACTTCAATATAACTAAATATCGAAAGAGGTGTTCAAATACGCTCAATGCTCTTCCGTCCAACAAGATGCAACTAAAATCTCAATATTTTTTCACAAAAACACTACCAATTAGAACTACAGACACCCAAGAAAATTCCATGGACACGAAAATACTCCGTCTTTCAACCTAATTTACTCGTAGTGCGAGTCATTTACTACATCATTAAGCTTCCAACAATCCAACAATCGTTTTTATGTCCGGTCTGATGGTTTTCGCAGTTTCTAATAAGCTTAACCGGAAACAGAAGTTTCCAAACATCACATTCATTAATAAAAATGGAATGCAGCTGAAAAGTTCATCAATCCGTGATATGCAACACATGAATCAGAATGCAGGTAAAGCTGTAAGTTCCGAAACCTGAACAATCTCCTCCGACATCGAAACGCATCGAGGCAGATTATGATCTCTAGGCAACACCCTAATCTGGGTCTTAGTCTCCATCCTCATCTGCTCAATTATCTTCCCTCCCTTCCCCAGCAAACATCCCACATGCATTCTCGACACAACCAACCGCGTCGCTACTCGATTCCCACCGCCACCGCCGCCGCCTCTAACCCCACCACCATACTCATCCTCCTCCTCACCGCCAAACCCAGCAACATCACTCTCCAGAATCCTCTCATGGATCAAAAAAAGAGCCTCCTGAGCCGGCGAGAAGGACGGCATTCGCCCCTCCGGGTCCCGCCGCCGCGTGTCGGTAATCTCAATAATCCGCTCCTCATCTCCCGGAATCAGTTCATGTACGTTGATCCATGCGCCGGTGTGCTGCCGAATCGACTTAATGATGCTACCGGACTTCCCAATCACCCCTCCGGCCCTCATATCGTGACAGAGAATACGGTATGTCGTAGTTACCGTAACCGACGGATCCTGCTGAGGAGGCTTAGATGGTCTTCCACCACCACCGCCGCCGCCGCTTCCACCTCCGCGGTGGCGGTGGTTGTTGTTGTTCGCGTAGTGGTGATTGTACCGAGGCCTGGTCCTACCCACAGTCTCCGTATCGTAGTCCTGTTCATAGTAGTACCGTTTAGATCTAGACCTCTCCATCTCCCAAAACCGCCTCGCTCAAAAAACCTAGGGTTTTTAACTTTCCGGGAAAATAAACAACTTTCCGGGAATCGGAGGTCTAGGGGTTCAGATTGTCTTCGTCCTGGAGTTGAAGAAGCAAAGGGTACAGGGTCACTCCTGAGTTCTGAACTCGGTCATTTTCCTAGTGTCCTTTGTCCTCCTCTGTTTGTTCTGTTTTCCATTTTCTTTCCTTCCTTATTTTCTGTTTGGTTCGTCGGAAAGCGTGAGAAAATTGTTCAAATTTGAAAACCCTAGAAGATTTGGAGAATCTAGAGAGAGAGAGAGAGAGGGAGGAGAGAGACAGAGAGAAGGAGTCCAATTTGCAGAGTCTGTGAGGAGAGCTGCCAGATTTAGCAGTTCAGTCCGGTTTACTTTACCTTCCCCAAACCCCAACTGTGAGGTAATAATAATGATAAATAATAAATAATAAATAATAATTGTTTTACTTTTAGTCTCTTTCACATGAAGATGACGAAACGACGACGGTTTAACGGTTCTTGGACTCTTGACTTGAGCGTAGATAACGTACGACAGAAGTTGTGAGGTGGAAGATACACGGTTTGCATAATGGTACGCATTGTCTTCTATCTACCCTAGATTAGGGAAATGGAAATCGAACTCGGGTGCAAGGGAGCAGACACGTTGTCATAATAACAAGAGATATTTTAAACAACTTTAATTTACAGGAATAAAAATCAAACTCGTAAGCAAGTGAACAAACGAAAAACGGACAGAGTGAGCTAATTTTCTTTTACTATTCGAGTAAGGCTAATATTACTAAGAAGGTCGGGTTAGTTTTGAATTGGACAACTTCCGCTTAGAAAACTACATGCTGTTTTTTTTTTTTTAATTCTGAAATTTACCCTAGGCTAAGGCCACGTTAGCCTCAAGAAACAAACACACTATTCTGATCAGATCAGCTAATATAATTCTCATGTGTCATATAATAAAACAGGATCCTCTCCGAATACTTTTCATCTAGATCCTTTAATCATGTCCGTCCAACTAAGAATTCAACGGCCACGAATTAATTTGATGTTCACCTTCTCCTATTCATCTTCTTCCATCTTCACCTCTTGTTTATCTTCTTCCATGTTCATCTTCTTCCCTCTTCTACTGGCATTAAAGGATCCAGAGGATCCGGATGGAATGGATTCAAAGAGAATCCTAGTGCTCCTATATTACACATAGTTTAAAGACCTAAACTTGAAAAGATATTTTTATAAATAAATTTGTATTTGCTTTTGGTACAAGGAATCTAAACACCTTGCTTGCAACTTTTGCATTTGATTTACAACTTGATTAAATTAATGGCAAAGTGAGCTTCTTGTTGTCGTATCCGTACTTAATTTCTTCGAATCATATTCCTTGCAGACAAGAAAATCAATCAAAAGTGAATATGCTTCACAAGATTAGTACACCTTTAATTTCACCATGTGTTACATTTCCTTTAATATTAGAAGAAATATGATTAGACGTGCATGAATGGTAAAGGAAATGTTCGTTTAAACCAATTTATTAATTACAACAAAAGAGATTTTAACCGTCTTTAATTTGATACATCTTTGTTATTGCAAATTCATATTATTATTCAGTTTTTTAGCTAAAATAGTCTTCATAAATTTTTACTTTGGTTCCTGACAATGAAAAATGATAGAAGTGGTTACTGAATTTATACATCGTAAATCATTTTGATAAAAATATGTCAATATTCTTGTGTAAGTGGAGGGTTGGTTTAACAAAAATATCCTTACATAGGTGACCGCATGGTCGTTCACATGACAATTTAACAAAGATATTGACAAATTTTCTACGAAATTACCAAATCAATTTACGGTGAACAAACTAATAAACTGCTTACATCATTTTTCATTGTCAAAGTCCAATCTCCACCCCTAGTGTTGCCATCCAAATTTATATGTCGGATGTTAACTTGTGAGGAGATAATTACACGTATAATCTCACTTTTGACATAGTTCATGTGTTAATTGAAGGAAGATGAAGTTTTACCATAAATTAATAGGAAAACTAATGAAAATGACTTGAAAATTTTGATATTTAATGAAAATGATAAAATAAAGGGTGAAATAAATAGTACCAAGATTGACTTTTTAGTGTAAAAATGTGGTTTTTCGTCAAAATGAATAGTACCAGGAGCTTTTCGTTAAAGTTCCCTAAATTAATTGGCAATATGGAAAATAGTCTAACCATTTATATGTATATGCAAAGTCTCTCATCTTATCAATACAAGATTCATTCGCAACATGCACTCTAATGTGTGGTGAAATTTCAAGCCTAACACGTTGTTTGGACCCGATCTTACACTATCGGCCCGAGCAATCGAGAACGTTAAATAAATGGTTTCTAGACCGTTGGATTTCATATTTTTCTAGATATTACTATTGAATTTTCGTAGTAATTATCTTATGAAATATATTTGTGGAAGCAAAGGAGGTCAATTCCAGTTCGAATATGACTAGTTTGAAAGCGAACGTGGTAGGTTATCTCGATAATGATGGTATCTGATGAATACCGAAAGATAAGGACTGGCGATGTGTGTGATCAGATGAGTTTTGAAGATGAAAGAATATTCCTTTTGTTTTTCTATCTGATCAAAACAACAATTTGCATGCAAATTGAATGTTTGTCAGATAAGATAATAAGGAAAATAATGATGAGAATGAATAGTCAAATGATGATGCGATTTCATTGGTGCATGAGTCTCCAGGAAAGCTTTGAAGCTTTAATCACGTGGAAGGCTTTACAGTTCTGAAGTTTTCAACATTATCTTTAAGAAATTGAGAGATATGATGCAGAACTTGAGATAAAGTTTGAATACAGGATGATGTTCCCTATTGTTAGATTATTAATTGGACTCTACAAACACCATCAGGCCGTGCCAAGCAAATATCCAACCTTATAAATACAAGACTCGGTGCAATAGAAGAAAGTACGTCCAATTCAACACACAAAACTGCCCTGCGCAAACCCTCTCAACAACTTTGAGATTTTTTTATTTTCTTTTTCGCCGACACATCTTCAGTTGGCATAAACAGCATTGTGGAGGCAACCGGTGATATCTTCAGTTAGCATAAACATCACTGTCGCCGTAGAATCAGCCAATCTCGCAGCATCTTCAGTTGGCATAAACAGCACTGCGTTGAGGTCGCCTGGTTACCTATCCAAGTCTTGGTCGAGAAGGATTTCCGAATCCTTGTTGGTTGAGGTCATCTCATCAGCCTTCTCGGCGAAGTGAGGTGTTACAAGTTACTACATTCGGCACATTGGAAGCCGAATTTAATTTGAACTTCGCTAAGTTAGCAGCCTTGTCTTCAGGCTCTAGAACCCGAAAGCCGAGACAAGTTCCTTCCTCAGCCGCAGTTGCAAGATCAAGAAGTCAGCAGCGCACCTAACGCGACATCAACATATTTTACTCCTCGGCCAAGCTCGGCCGAAGAGTTGGCACGCCCCGCACACAACCGAATGACATAGTTAGCTTACTAATTACTCGGTCTGTGCGCCACATAGGCTTGGTAATTTTTAGGGTCAACACATGTGGACAACACAAGATGATGTGGGCCTCGTGTAGCCATTGAACTTCACACGTGGCTCTGATACTATGAAAAAGTTGAGGTTCCACCATAAACCCAATTGATGATAAAGGAAGTAGTCCGACTACTTATAAATACATATAAATTCTCTCATCTTATTAGTGTGAGATTCATTTTCAACGTTAATCACATGCATATTACGCACTAAATGATCTTATGCATGAACAACCAAATATCATTCTCATTTACGAGTTTTTTCAACTTCTAAGTAAGTAAACAAGTCATTCATTTGGTTGTGCTCTTGACGGTTGCACCAAATGCAATGGCACATATGTAAATTCAGATTAACGCGAGGACATGTTTGCCGCGAAACGCATTAAGCATGAACCTAAAGACGGTCGAAGGCGGAGGAGGGGATAACACAACGGCCAACGCTTCCGCCACAATCCCCTTCTTCACTCTCTCACCTCCTTCCCCTGTAACTCTCTCTCTCTCTAAAATAATTTGGACAAAAATAAAATTCAGTATCCGCGAATTTCCGGTTCTTAATTTCTTACTTATTACGTTCACTTTTATTTTATCCACTACAGAAGGTGCAGCTGAGAGTGGAAAGTTCGATGCTTTCGAGCTGTTCCCTGAGGCCGAAGGTGACAGATTGTTTCCATTTCTGACTGTTTTGTTGGGTTTGTTCTCAATTTTGTTTTCTATGAAATTATTTTTTCAATTTTTTGAAGTGAAATTTTTGCAGGTGGTTTCCCGAATGCAGAAAGATGGCGGAGGGCGGCGAGTGTGGCGGCGAAGAAAATTGGTACAAAAGAAAAATACCCAATTGAATTATCCTTAATTTTCCTTGTTAATTGTATAGAAAGTTGAGTATGATGGTTGTGAATTGTATATAATTGAGCACTAAAGGGACTCGTTTGGTGTCTATGATTGGATTGAATTGAATTGGACAACTCGCTACGTTGAACAAAGAAACGGATGACAATTTTCAAATTTTGTGGGATAAGTTTTTATCGTGACAAATGCATCTCCTAGCTTTAACTCGGGACAAAATTTGGAAGTTGTCATCCATTTCTTGCTTAAAATAAGTTGAAATGGTGAGTTATCTAATCCAGCTCAATCATAGATACTAAACGAGGCCTTAGTAATGGGTTTATAGAGTTCTTGGCAAGCTTTAAGCAATCCAATTGGTACGGTTTCGTACCGGGATGGTACCGAAACCAAACCCGTAGCAAAATTTTGGTATGGTATGAATGGTTGTACCAACTTAGTACCGAACTTAATAAGTTCGGTTTGGTCCAAGTATAGGTTCGGTTCTATTCTGGACCTTTAAGGAACAAGACCTGTTTTTCAGTTTTTGTAAAAATAAAATAAAAAAACGCCCAAATCAGTTTTTGGCCCAAAATTAACAAAGTTCACACAGAACTTGGACGGTATTTTGAGGAGCAGCAATTTAGTCTAGATTTGAATGTTCATGTAAGCGAATGCTTATCAAAAGGATACGGTCCATGTTGATGATTCTGCAATTTGGTTTGGTTTGGTTTAGTGTGTATGTAATCCGAAAACACAGATTTTTGGTAGTTATATTATGTTATGGAAACAACCCATTACTCGTTATCCATTGAGAATTTGAGCAACCGAGTGAATGATGCTGGGTTTTTTAGACCAGAGGCATATGAAGAATCTGACCCCTTCAAGCCAGGGCCTTCTTACTTGAAAGTAAATTAGTTACACCATTGATACATGTTGTAATTGTTGATTTTTAATCCCCTTAGTTGATCTTGTTTATCAATAATCTCTGATGTTAAGTAAATTTGTAAGGTGATGATAAGCGATATGAGTCAATTGTTAATGTAAACTTGCTCGATGGATTATGATGACCTAACGAGTGTTGTGCTATGGTGTTTGTATCAAGTACATGATAGTAGGTGTTCTTATTGGGTTTGTGACGCTTAAAAGTGTTCATATTGAGTACTGTTAGCAAATCTCAAAAAAAAAAAAACAAGGCTTAGATGGACCGAGTACACGGTGACAATACCATCTAGGTTCATTAAGTGGCTCTCGCAAAAGAGGTTCACTCATGTCACTAAATTATCACGTGACAATCGTTCATTGTACATGTAATAAATTTTTTAACACATAACAAACGTTTATTGAACAATCACAGTATTGAGATTAAAACCTAGTTCTCTTACAGAATCTCTCCACACCTGCTGACAATATTGAATCTTAGTCAGCATCTTTAGGACCCCACCTTAAAGTGGGCCACATATGACGTGGCAAACCTGTGGTGAAAGGTCAAAGTGTCAAATGAATGTAAAGGGGTCCCACGTTCCTACCCAATCTGTTAATCCAGTTAGAGGTGCAGCTTCATTCACTCTTTATCCTTCACAACAACAATTCCACCTCCACCACCATTCCTCCTAGTTCCGAACTAACTCGTCCCAACTCACCGACTCAACTCAGTACCAGTAGTGCTACTACTGCTGGTGATAAAATGACTTTGACAAGCCCACAGCTGCAGAGGTTCGTCCTAACCAAATACCACGGCGGCTTATACAAGACTGCCGCCGCAAAAAGCAGCTTTAACATAAGAGCAAGAAGCAGAAGCTGCTCGGCGATTGCCATCGACACGCCGGGTTCTTCCCTTACCGACGTTGCTGGAATCCGATGGGGTTCGACTAGTCTGCAGGGTGCCCGGGAGGAGATGGAAGACGCCGTCGTTGTCCGGTCTGAAGGCCTTGATGAGTTCTCATTTGCCGCCGTTTTTGACGGCCATGCAGGGTTCAACTCGGTCAAGTTCCTCAGGTTGGACCATCACTAATTCCATTTAATTAAAATTTTAATAATTGGATTGTGGACATATTTATACTGGTACACAAAAACTAGGCTTAAATGTCAAAATTGTCTCTGTGTTATAGCTATATGGTCAATTTAATCTCCGTGTTTTCGATTTGGCTAATTTAGTCATCATGTTTATCTCTTTCAATTTTTAGTTTTATTTCATTTTTAAATATTATAAATCAAATAAATAATTTTATAAATAAGTTTATAATAGTTTATAATTTTTTTTTTTATATAGAAATTAGATGGAAATGTCCTTAATTGGTTAACGGAAATAAACACAAGATCAAATTGGCCAAATTGAAAACATAGGGACTAAATTAACCCAATGACTAAAACGCATGGACCATTTTAATATTTAAGCCCAAAAACTAAGCTAAGTCGATGTCTTTAATTTTGCTTGACGTTGTTGAGATTCAAAGGGCGAGAGATAAAATACTTAGACTCGACGATTATATGTGACACATATACTAGTCTGAGAAAATTAGACTTGCACACTTTGCGTTTTGTTAGGTATTGCCAATTTTTGTAGTAAGGATTAAAATGGTTTTTTGTAACAGAGATGAGCTCTACAAGGAGTGTTGTGCGGCTTTGCAGGGTGGGCTGCTACTACGTGGAAACGACTTCAAGGCCATTAGAGAGGCATTGCTGGAGACGTTCGAAAAAGTTGACTCTAAATTGTTAAATTGGTAAGTTGGTTTGGACTGTTTGGTAGGAAGGACTTAAGCTCGTAAGCACTTATGTTAGAAGTGTTTTTATTATAAACATGTATAACTTATAGAAGTCTTTATGCCAAACGAAAGAAGCGCCTTTGGTTATCAGAAAACACTTTTAGTTATTCCAGAAGTCGTACCAAAAGAACCCTTAAATTCATTTTGGTCTAATTTGCATCAAATGTGTAAACCATGTTGCCTCAAATATGTTTTGTATACATGTATATAATTGGGTTGAAGGTTTAGATGGTGTTTGATTGTGTAAAGGCTCGAAAGCAATGGGGAGAAAGACGAATCTGGTTCGACAGCTACCCTTATGTTCGTTGGAAACGATACGCTGGTTATTTCACATGTTGGTGATTCTTGTGTGGTATGTACCTCGTTTCAGCATTTGTATTTCACGCAGAACTTCATTTGTCAAATACCGGAAAGTGATACGAATGTAGGAATGTTAAGGTTGCTGCATTTATCAGCTGACTGGCTGGTGCAGGTTCAATCTTGTTCTGGAAAGGCAGAGGTTCTTACGCATCCTCATAGACCGTACGGGAGCAACAAGGCTTCTCTTCAAGAAATCAAAAGAATCAGAGAAGAAGGTGGATGGGTGTGTTTTTCTATTCTTTGTTTATGATTGTGAGATTTCTTCTGTATAAAATATAAGACATTGATAATCTATAGCTTGGATGTTATGACAACTTGCATATGGCGTCTACAGATCAGCAATGGAAGAATTTGTGGCGACATTGCTGTTTCTCGTGCGTTTGGTGACATGCGGTTCAAGACAAAGAAAAACGAGTAGAGTCTCTTAACTTTCTGCTCATCTTTCCAAAACATACAGATCACTTATTATCAGCTTTTTCATGGGAGCTTTGGCATATAGATAATCAAATATGCATATACTGATGGCTTTGTGCATTTTATAATGGAAAGGATGCTGAAAAAAGGAGTTGAAGAAAGGAGATGGACAGAAAAATTTGCTTCTCGGTAGGTCATCCTTATGTTCTTGACGATCAGTTTCATCTATATTGTTTGCTCCTTGTAGTTTAGGACGCTTTTGTATCGGTTCACTGCTAGCCAGTATGTTGTAGAACGCTTTCAAAAGCATTTACTTTGTGCACTAATGTAGAGTAGCGGAGTAAGTAGCGTAAATTAGATGGTTCTTTCTCTGTATTTTAGAATGTCGTTGTGCCTATCTAAGAATACTTCGATTCAAACTCCTTTTATGTTACGCCAGAGTACAATTCAACGGAGACCTAGTTACTGCATCTCCAGACGTTTTTCAAGTAACTTTCGGGACAGATTCAGAATTTGTTCTGTTAGCATCAGATGGCTTATGGGACTACATAAACAGGTCTGTTGGACTTAACACTCTTAGTAAACGAATGCCATGTTTTCTCATGAAATTGATCGCTCACGTAAAATTTGGTCACTCTTTCAGCTCAGATGCGGTGACTTTTGTAAGGAATCAGCTTCGAAAACACGGAGACGTTCAGGTTTAGCTACTGCCTTCATTTAAATGCGTCAATCTGCTTTAACGATGTAATAAAAATGGCGATCTAGTGCTTAACTACACCGCCTGTTTTTTCCTATCTTTTTTTTTCAGCTAGCTTGCGACGCGCTTGCTGAAGCTGCTCTGGTAACAAATTAAATAGAGTATTTGTTTTACTCTACACACATTAGTTAAATCGTTTTCTTCGGTAGTTAGTTATCTAATGACCTGATATTTTCACATATCGAACAGGATCAACGCTCGCAAGATAACATCAGCATTGTTATTGCAGATTTAGGGTATGTATCTGTCAGTTCTGCAATCTGGCTTTTCACCTTCCTTGTTAATTTTCCGAGTTGTCTGATCTAGTTTTTGGTTCATCCGCAGGCGGACAGACTGGCAAGGTTTGCCATTTCAACAACAAAATGTTGTATATGAATTCGGCCAAGCTTTTGCTACGGTTGGGATTGTGTCGCTTGGAATTTGGATCTCAACATCCTTGCTTTCGACATGAACGTGAGACATCCCGGAGTCCCAAGAATCTCTATAACGGAATGATGGAAATCATCAACATGGATTTTCACACGTTACGTTTGTAAAATCTGAATTGTACGTGCCTCACACCTTGATACCTTTGGATGTAGGTCTCAGTAGTAAATAAGAACTCACGTGATCGATGATTTAGCTGGATTGCTAGTTTTGTGATTGACATTTCTTGCAAATTCAAAATATATGTACATGCATAAACCCTTCACATATCATTCTTCAAGACAACAACCATCGAACACAAGGCCAGAAAGTAAAATTGCTTCTGAATGTTGTTCGAGAGTTCACCGCCGAAAATTATGAAAAGTTACGGCAGAACACCGCCGAACCTCACCATAATTTAATACAATTTTCATCGGTGTTCTTAACTTTTTACACTTCTCGTACATATTGGGGGTAGGCACCCAATGTCCAACAGTGTAGAACAGTTGGCCGAGTGGATTGAAGAGGAAATGGACTGTCGGAAGATAAAAGAACGTAGTGGGAATTTGCAGATTTTGTGCCATAGCTTCGATTTGGACCCATGTTACATTTCTGGAAAGGGAACGACGCCGCAGTTCCTACACTCCATTCTGCTGTGATATAAGATGGATTTTAGATGTCCGAGACCGTTTCAGCCTCCAAAATTATGTTTTAATTTCTGTAACAAAAATCAAACCTTCGATTTCCGTCCGACTAATGTTGTTTGCTTTTGTTCTTAATTACCTTGCTACAGGGAGTTGTAATTTGTTTATTTAAGCCATTAGCTGCTTCATTGTAATCATCCATTCAATTTTTAATAAAAAATAAAAAAACCCTTTCGGAATTCTCTCATATTACTGCGGATTTAAACTTTAGTTCTTCTCGGATTTACGTTTATAATCATTTTGCTTTATGCCGTGTCACCTAACCACAGCATAGCAAAAGTACTTATTTTACACCTCATACATGTAAGACGATCGATTAGCAGCGATGTATATAGCCACAGGAAATATATGATACAAAGATATATGTATTCCTATGGCCACACAAACACACACAAAATAGTTTATACATACATACATACATATGTATGTATGTATGTATCGATGAAGAAACTCGTTCGGATTGCTATATTAGGTCTGCTTATACGTGATCAAAACCTCGGATTGCTATATTAAGGCAGTCTCATGGGTTCCTGCCAATGCCAGGTCTCCTAGGGTCGTGCCTATGGTTGTATCTTGCATCGTCGTAGTCCTGCATTGTTGCAGCGAGCCTCCGAAGCTTCCTCGAAATGATTTCGACGCCATTCTGCAAAACATGCAGAATTTGCTGTTAGCAAGATAAATTAAGCATGATTTGGCAAATTAATGTAATTTATGTCCCATTAGTTTATCATGGGAACTTGTAGAACAAACAATAGTAGATATTCTACCTTGTGAAGCAAGTTAATGGGATCCATGCCGTCCTTGAAGCCCTTAGTAACAATGCCTACAAAGAGTACTTATGTCAGCTTACTAGGCTAACCTAAACATTTATATGCAAATAGAAATGGGAGTTAAATTAAGCACCTGAGTTCGTATTCCCCTCCTGACAGTTTAGATTACTTTAAGGTGAAATATCATTTGTATCAACAAAACTAAGTACGCTGCAATATGCTCACCTGAAGATAAAGGAGTTATGAGAAGTGCTGAGAGGTAAAGCACTTGTAGAAGAAGAAACCCATTGATTCTAAAAGCCATAGCTTATTTTCTTCTTCTCCCCTCAGTTAGTTAAAATGGTGATGAATCTTAGCAAGGAGAGGTGAGAGAGGATGGGCTTTTATGCTCATTTGGCGTCGGTTGGGGAGTGAGTGGAAGCATATACGCTATGAGAGAGAGAGAGATGTTGGTAATTCAACTGTGTGCAGTTCTTCTCCACCATCCAATAACAACAGAAAAAAAAAAAAAAAAAACCATCACAAGCCAATAAGGCTCCACACTTTACGAGGGTTGGGAGGGGAGGGAGGAGAGGAAGAACATCTATTGTACGCAGTCTTACCTTACTTTACAAAGAAACTGTTTTCATGATTGAACCCGTGGCCTTCGGTCACAATAAAACAACCGTTTTATTGCGCCAAAACTCTTCCTCCCAACAGCAACAGATTGATGATCAAATATTGGTGTAGGGTTTTAGCTGGCTAGCCCACAACACATAAGTCAACTGCACCATTTCTTTCTTGCTATTTCCCTTCTTTTGTCATCTTCTTTCTTATGCATGTGGACACGAGCAAACAATATTCTTACATTGCATGGCTCGAATTCCAGCCATTTTCTGCCTACTTTTTGGGTTTTTATCACTTTTTAATACATCAATATGCTTCCCTTTTTCCTGTGTTCACTATTATATTATCTACCGACACTGCATAGTACATATATAGTGAGAGGAGAGTAGTAAGGCCATTTTATTTAGATATGCTCCCATATTTTCAATGGTTGCCATATGTACATTCCAAGTGCATGCCCATTGTTTCAGTAAAATTTAATGAACTAAGTAGATTTGTCTGGCTCGTGATCTGCAGAGAATTTGTGTGAATCATGACATGAGATGAATACTGCAAAAACCCTAGACTTTTCTCTTCCTAAAATACAAATTTAGGTAGGACGCCATGATTACGTGGCTGATTAGGTTAGCTACTTTCATAAAGGTATATAGGTCTTCTGTATGTGTGTATCATCCGACTCTAGTTTGATGGAGTCTTTTCTTGGAAAAGTATCTAATCAGTAACGTGATCAAGCTGTCCTACTGAAGTCTTTCTTCTCTAAAGAGATACAAAAAAGTATTGACATCCTTTTATTTAGTATTGACATCATTTTATTTGATAAGGTCAATTACGTTCCCTCATCTATAAGTGAATTTCGTAATGGAACCTTGCTTTTTAAGACATCATTTTCTATAGGACTTTCCAAACCCTTTCTTTCTCATGGGTTTCATTTTCCGTGGTACCAAAGATATCAAACACCATGAGTGAAATGTGGTTAATTTAGGTCCTCATATACTTTCTGGTTAGCCAATGGATGAAGACAAGCAAACATAGACCTAGAGTGGACTACATGTACATGAAAATCCAATGTGAAGAAAGAAGAGGGTAGGAGGGTTGAACTTGAATATGTTGGTGACGCATCGTCACTAATGGAAGGGAGAGCACTAACATCATAGTGTGAGGGGAACGAGTCAAAATTTTTGAACTACTACCAACACCAACATAGTCCAATATCATATAATCCAACAAATTAAACTCCAATAATTTTAAGACAACAAACAAAAGTTTCACTCATCTGCCGAGAGAGTTTATGTTGGTAATGATGGTGGTTGCGGGATGGTGATCCACAAATTAAGCTCCGCATTTGGCAACGGTTCTAGGTTGTCAGGGAACAATACTATATTGAAAATGGTTTTGTGTTTGCAGGGTCTTAGCATAATCCCTCAGCTTGTATCTTTTTCGTTTACTTTCATTTGTTATTAATAAATTTGGTGGAGGAGGGTCAGGAGTGGGGTTTCAAGCTGTAATATCACCCCTTTGAGGAAAAGTAGGTGTTTCTCACACGACTATTGCCGAAGAACTAATCTTGCCTAATCTTTTTCCATTTTGAAATCAAACAATAAAAAATCATGCAACAAGAACGCCCATGATTATATCACAAGTGTGGAAGTTAAAACGCATGTTAATTAGCACATTATTAACTTAAAATATATCTCGTGTAGGTAAATATCTCTCATTTACCAAGAATGACTTCCATGCAACAGAGTGGGAATGAAAGTAGAAAATCCAATTTGAAGTCAAGCAAGAAGATTTTAGTCCATAGTCCATATAGCATGGATGAGAGAGAAGCATAGAGTATTTGTTTTACTCTACACACATTAGTTAAATCGTTTGCTTCGGTAGTTAGTTATCCAGTGACCTGACATTTGCACATATCGAACAGGATCAACGCTCGCAAGATAACATCAGCAATGTTATTGCAGATTTAGGGTATGTATCTGTCAGCTCTGCAATCTGGCTCTCACCTTCCCCGTTAATTTTCGGGGTTTTCTGATCTAGTTTTTTATTCATCCGCAGGTCGACAGACTGGCAAGGTTTGCCATTTCAACAACAAAATGTTGTATATGAATTCGGCCAAGCTTTTGCTACGGTTGGGATTGTGTCGCTCGGAATTTGGATCTCGACATCTTTGCTTTCGACATGAACGTGAGACATCCCGGAGTCCCAAGAACGTATATAACGGAATCATGGAAATCATCAACATGGATTTTCACACGTTACGTTTGTATAATCTGAATTGTACATGCCTCACACCTTGATACTTTTGGATGCAGGTCTCAGTAGTAAATAAGAACTCACATGATCGATGATTTAGTTAGATTGCTAGTTTTGTGATTGACATTTCTTGAAATTTCAAAATAAATGTACATGCCTAAACCCTTCGCATATCATCCTTCAAGAAAACAACCATCGAACGCAAGGCCAGAAAGTAAAATTGCTTCTGAATGTTGTTCGGGAGTTCACGGCCCAAAATTGTGAAAAGTTATGGGAGAACACAGCCGAACCTCACCATAGTTTAATACAATTTTCAGCGGTGTTCTGCCGTAACTTTTTACACTTCTCTTACACATTGGGGCGCCTCTATTGGGGTATGCACCCTATGCCCACCCCTGTAAAAAAGCTGGCCGAGTGAATTGGAGATGAAGTGGACTGTTGGAAGAGAAAAGGACGTAGCAGAAATTTGCAGATTTGGTGTCACAGCTCCGATTTGGATATAAGATGGATTTTAGCTATCCGAGGCTATTTCAGCCTCCAAAGCTGTGTTTTAATTTCTGTAGTAAAAATCGGACATTTCGATTTCCGTCCGATAATGTCGTTGGTTTTTGTTTTAATTACCTAAGCCCTTTGAGTTGTCCCAAGGAGTTGTAATCTGTTTATTTAAGCCATTGGGGCTGCTTCATTATAATCATCAATTTAATCTGTAATAAAGAAAAACCTTTCAGAATTTCTCTCAAACAACTGGTGGATTCCAAACTCTGATTCTTCAAGGATTTATGTTTGTAATCATTTTGCTTCGTGCCGCGTCACCTAACCAAAGCAATAGCAAGAGTATATATTTTACACTCTCATACATAAAGACGATCGATTAGCAGCAATGTCTATAGCCACAGGAAGAAGAATATGGTACAAAGATATTTGTATTCCTATGTCCACAAACACACAAACTAGTTTATACAGACATACGTACATACATACATACAATGCATTCTTACATACGTGCATACGTGCATTCATACATACATACATACATATACATACATACATATGTATCGATGAAGAACCTCGTTCGGATTCCTATATTAGGTCTGCTTATACGTGACCAAAACCTCGGATTGCTATATTACGGCAGTCTCATGGGTTCCTGCCATTGCCGGTCCTCTTTCTAGGGTCGTGCCTAGGGTTGGATCCTGTATCGTCGTAGTCCTGCATTGTTGCATGGAGCCTCCGAAGCTTCCTCGAAATGATTTCGACGTCATTCTTCAAAAACATACAGAATTTGCTGTTAGCAAGATAAATTAAGCATGATTTGTAAAATTCATGTTAATTTATATCCCATTAGTTTATGATAAAAACTACTAGAACAAACAATAGCAGATATTCTACCTTGTGAAACAAATTAATGGGATCCATGCCATCCTTGAAGCCTTCAGTAACAATGCCTACAAAGAGTACTTATGTCAGTTTACTAAGCTCCCCTAAGGGATTTAACGTAGAACAGATGTACTCCTCTATGCCCCTGAGTTTGAATTCCCCTCCCAACAATTTAGATTAGTTTAAGGTAACATATCGCTTGTACACAAAACTAAGTACGCTGCAATACGCTCACCTGAAGATAAGGGAATTATGAGAAGTGCTGAGAGGTATAGCACTTGTAGAAGAAGAAACCCATTGATTCTAAAAGCCATTGCTTATTTTCTTCTTCTTTTGTTTCTCTTCTTCTCCTCTCAATAAGTTAAAATGGTGATGAATCTTAGCAAGGGGAGGTGAGAGAGGGTGGGCTTTTATGCTCATTTTGAGTCAGAGTTGGGGAGTGAGTGGAAGCATATACGCTATGAGAGAGAGAGAGATGTTGGTAATTCAACTGTGTGCACTTCTCCTTCTCCACCATCCAATAGCAACAGAATATAAAATAAATAAATAAAAGGCGATCACAAGCAAACAAGGCTTCATATTTTACGAAGATTGGGGACGGAAGGGGGGACCTTACTTTGCAAAAATGATGTTTCCACGATAGAACCTGTGACCTTTCTATCACATAAAAACAACAGTTCCATTAATGTGCCAAAAACGCGATCTCCCAACAGGAACAGACTGATGATCAAATATTGGCGTAGGGTTTTAGCTAGCTAGCCCACAACACATAAGTCAACTGCACTACTATTTCTTTCTTGCTATTTCCTTTCTTTTGTCATCTTCTTTCTTAAGCATATGGACACAAGAGCAAACAATATTCTTTGCATTGCATGGCTCAAATTCTAGCCATTTTCTGCCTACTTTTTGAGTTTTTATCACTCTTTAATATGTTAATTTGCTTCCTTCTTTTCCTGTCTTCACTATTATATTATCTGCCGACACTGACACATATATATATATATTGCATATATAGTGAGAGGAGAGCAGTCGAGGCTATTTTATTAAGATATGCTCCTATTGTTTCAATGGTTGCCATATGTACTTTCCAATTGCATGTCCATTGTTCCAGTAAAATAATAAACTAAGTAGAATTGTCTGGCTCATGGTCTGCAGAGAAATTGTGTGATGAATAACGCAAAAATTCTAGACTTTTCTTTTTTAAAATTATAAATTTCGGTAGGGCACTATGATCACATGGCTGATTAGGTTAGCTATTTTCATAAAGGTACAGGTCTTTCGTACATATGTACCATCCAACTCTAGTTTGATTTAACTCCCAAAAGTATAGAGTCTTATTTTGTAAGAGTATCTGATCAGTAACGTGATCAGACAATTCTATTGAAGTCTTTATTCTCTAAAGAGATACAGAAAAGTATTGACATCCTTTTATTTGAGAAGGTCAATTACGTTCCTCATCTGTAAGTGAATTTCGTAATGGAACTTTGCTTTTTAAGACATCATTTTCTATAGGACTTTCCAAACCCTTTCTTTCTCATGGGTTTCATTTTCCGTGGTACCAAAGAAACCAAACACCATGAGTGAAGTGTGGTTAATTTAGGTCCTCATATACTTTCTGGTTAGTCAATGGATGAAGACAAGCAGACATAGACCTAGAGTGGAGTACAACATGAAAATCCAATGGGAAGAAAGAAGAGGGTAGGAGGGTTGAACTTTAATATGTTGGTGATCCACTAGTGGGAGGGAGAGCACTAACATCATAGTGTGAGGGGAACAAGTCAAAATTTTTGCAGTACCACCAACATCAACATGGTCCAATATTATATAATCCAACAAATTAAACCATTTAAGACAACAAAGAAAAGTTTCACTAATTAATCATCTCCCAAGAGAGTTTATGTTGGTATTGATGCTGTTTGCAGGCTGGTGATTCACAAATTAAACTCCGTATTTGGCACGGTTCTAGGTTGTCGGGGAAAAATACTATATAAAAATGGTTTAGTTTTTGCGGGTCTTAGCATAATCCCTCAACTTGTATCTTTTTCGTTTACTTTCATTTATTATCAATAAATTTGGTGGAGGAGGGTCGACTGTGGGGTTTTTGGGTGTAATGGTCCTCACGCCTTCGAAGGAGAGTAAGTGTCTCGCAAGTGATCATTGCCGAAAAACTAATCTCGCGTAATCTTTTTCCATTTGGAAAACAAACAAAAAAAAAGTCATGCAACAAGAACGCTCATGGTCATATCAAGTGCGGAAGTAAAAACGCATGTTAATTAGCACATATTGACTTAAAATATATCATTCTCAGTTGAATATCTCTTGTGTAAGTAAATACTCTCATTTACCAAGAAGGACTTCCATGCGACAGAATGGGAATGGAAGTAGGAAATAGATTTTGAAGTCAAGCAAGAAGATTTTAGTCCATAGTCCATAGCATGGATGAGAGAGAAGTCTAGTGCTTTCTCTACAGAATTTGGTGTCACCACATGACTGCTTGAACGGAAAGTGGTATTTTCTATTCATTTTGGATTGCTTATTGTCATATGATGTCATGCCCTTTGTACCATTTTTTATTAGGGACAAGGATTGTCTGTCCTCCTTGTTCACGTGCTCTCCTATTTTGTGTGGTCACGGTTAAGCCACGTCAATATTTTATATTGTTTTTTTTATAGAGATAATAAGACAAAAATGAATAGTAATATAAAATATTGACGTGGCTTATCCATGACCACACAAACATGAGGGCATGGGAGGACATAGGAATAAGGAGGGCAGATAATCATTGTCCTTTTTTAGGACTCGTTTAGTATGGAAGATTGAATTGAAAATGATAACTTTATAATATCAAAGCATATCAAAGACTAAAGTGAGTGATTTGGATTCTGGGATGGACACAAAAAAAACTCACCTTCTAATCTATCATTTTGGAGAGGATATCAAAATGTATAAGTTTACTTTACACGTAATTTATGTTCCACCCTTTAGTTGCATATAATTTTTTTTCATTTCTACATACCTTGAAATTAAAGAGTTACCTATTCCTATTCGATCTTCTGTACAAAAGAGACCGTGCTATTTAATAACATCAAATCCACTTCTTTTGATTTTGGTTGTATGAGAACTCGGTCACGACTCACGACTGACCTCACATGGTGTGGCGAGGGGATACCAGTACCAGAGTATGTAAAAGTGATTGTATTGTATTGTTGCCAGTCATATCTCAAAAGCTCACACCACTTTCTTTGAAATTTTGAATAGCCTTCAAAGTTGAAAGTTGAAAACCTGCCTTTTTTTTTTGGAGGCATATTGTTAGCCCTCCTGTTTGGGTGCTTTTTCCATCATCTTCTATTTTGTACGGTCACGGTTAAGCCATGTCAACATTTTATATTGATTTTTTTATAGAGATAATAAGACAAAAAGCAATAAGAATATAAAATGTTGACGTAGCTTAACCGTGATCGCACAAATAAGAAGGGATGGGAAGGGCACCCAAACAGGAGGGCTGACAATCTGCCTCATTTTCTTTTTGCATTTGGAAACTTACATGAATTAATTTCACGTTTACTTATTTGGAACGAGGAGAGATGAATCGAAAAAGTACAAGAATTGAGAATGGAATCCATAAAAAAACTAGCCTCCCTAATCGATCTGATTCTTGAACTTTCAAATACGTACCGTAAACATAGAAAAACCAAAAATCAAAATCATTTTAATTCTCATTTTATGTAAAGTTTGTTTAAAATTTAGGGTTTAGGGTTTAGCCCATCCCCTTCTATTTGTGCGATTACGGTTAAGCTATGTCAACATTTTATATTCTTATTGCTTTTTGTCTTATTATCTTTATAAAAAAAATCAATATAAAATGTTGTCGTAGCTTAACCGTGATCGCACAAATAAGAAGGGATAGGAATGACACCCAAACAGGAGGGCTGACAATCTGCCTCATTTTCTTTTTGTATTTGGAAACTTACATGAATTAATTTCACGTTTACTTATTTGGAACGAGGAGAGATGAATCGAAAAAGTACAAGAATTGAGAATGGAATCCATAAACAAACTAGCCTCCCTAATCGATCTGATTCTTGAACTTTCAAATACATACCGTAAACATAGAAAAACCAAAAATCAAAATCATTTTAATTCTCATTTTATGTAAAGTTTGTTTAAAATTTAGGGTTTAGGGTTTAGCCCATCCCCTTCTATTTGTGCGATTACGGTTAAGCTATGTCAACATTTTATATTCTTATTGCTTTTTGTCTTATTATCTCTATAAAAAAAATCAATATAAAATGTTGACGTAGCTTAAAATTGACCGCACAAAATAGGAAGGGATAGGAATGGCACCCACACAGAAGGGCAGTCAGTCTGCCTCCAAAAGAAAATGGCAGGTTTTCAACTTTCAACTTTGAAGGCTATTCAAAATTTCAAAGAAGGTGGTGTGAGCTTTTGTGATATGACTGCCACCAATACAATACAATCACTTTTACATACTCAGCATCGTTTATGGCAGTGGTACCGGTATCCCCCCGCCACACCATGTGAGGTCAGTCGTGACCGAGTCCTCATACAACCAAAACCAAAAGAAGTGGATTTGATGTTATTAAATTGAACGGTCTCGTTTGTACGTAAGATCGAATCAGAATGGATAACTCTTTAATTTCAAAGTATGTAGAAATGAAAAATGAAAAAAATTATGTGCAACTAAAGGATGGAACATAAATTATGTGTAAAGTAAACTTATACATTTCGATATCCTCACCAAAATGATAAATTAGAAGGCGAGAGTTTTTTTTGTGTCCATCCCAGCATCCAAATCACTCACTTTAGTCGTTAATATGCTTTGATATTATAAAGTTATCATTTTCAATTCAATCTTTCATACTAAACGAGTCCTTAAAAAAAATGAAAACTAATGAAAAATGTTTGAAAACTTTGAAGGTTAACAATAAGGACAAAATAAAGGGTAAAGTGAATAGTACTATAATTGATTTTTTAGTGTAAAAATGTGGTTTTTCGTTAAAATGAACAGTACCGAGAACTTTTCGTGAAAGCTCGCTAAAAAAAATGGTACAAAGGGCATGACATCATATGACAATAAGCAATCCAAAATGAATAGAAGATACCACTTTCTGTTTAAGCAGTCGTGGTGACAACAAATCCTGTGGAGAAAGCACTAGAATTCTCTCTCATCCATGCTATCGACTATGGACTAAACGATTATCAGCACTCAAAAAAAGTCATCATAACGTCCAAGCTTAAATAATTCAATCAAACTATATATAGCTTATGCATCAAATTCTGGAAAATGACCAGTTATAAACAACACATGACCTGAGGCCGATAAGCAAATACAATGCCTCTCCCAAACTTCCCAACAAAATAATCCTCGCTATGGCATCACAATTCGCGGCGTTTAATCGTAAAAAACTTCGAAA